TTGAAGGAAAACATCGTGAGAAAACCGGCTTGTTTGGGACCAAAAAAGCGGGGGGGGGTGTGGGCGGGGGGGGGGGTCACCTACTTGCCTATTACTTTTAAAAGAGATCATGAAACAGATTCAAGAATTCAAGCAATCTGAGGCCAAGACCTAAAGAGGTTTATTATGTTGATTATTATTTTATAGATTAAAAATCTTCTTAAGCTATAGGAACACACTGTGATTCATATTGTTGGTTTCCCGTTTGCAAACGCACGATTCTCAATGCACGATCATATATTTATTTTATTTTTTCTCTCAAACAACACATATTACAAGGAGAACAATCAGATACTTAAGGTTATATAAATGATATATATGTGAAAATATCATGAGGGCGCAGCACTAACCAGAAACCCTAACTTAGCTAACTTCGTCACAATCGAGGATATATTTAATAGAAAAATAAGCTTTCTATGAATTGAGCGGCTTATGTTAAGCGAATCTAATTTATATTAGTTCTTTGTTATTAAAGCACTTGAAATTCAGTTCTATTTTTAAATCGGGTAAAATTAAATCGCATTTTGTATAATATATTTCCTTTATTAAAACCTAAATATAACAATAAAATATACTGTATTTACAAGTTTCTTAACTTACATAGTAATAATAAAAATTATTTAAAATAATAATGATAAAAGTGTGTGTAAAATTACTTTGGTAGAGTTAATAATACGTATTTTACACATATAACTTTATTTAATCCTATGAATCCTCTACTGGTAGTCATTAGGTTTGATGATGGCATGATGATTAATGGCCATCAGTGTATAATTGAAGCTAAGGTTAAGTGATATCACATCATTAGCACGTATAATCGAATTATACACTCGCCTTAACAATTAACTTTTGTGTGGAATACTTTTGTCAAACTGTATCATACCATTATTTCGTGCACGTTATTACACGCTATTTTTTCTATTCAAATATCTTATATTAAATACTAGCTGCCCCCGCGAACTTTGTTCTTCCTTAATGCCTAGCCTACCTTTTTAGTACATACCAACATGGAACATTTTGCTATGCTACACCAGAGACTGTTCGGTTTTCCGGTATGAAAACTTATTAGGTTTTTCTGTGAATTTTTCTCTAAACCTCTGAGTTCATGTTATATATTCTTAACTAACAAATAAAAAATAAGGATTTATCGTAGAGGGTAGATGAAAATTAAAGGTTGTATGTATTTTTGTATACTGTATCATAAAAAAAAATTGTCTACAAAATAAAAATAAAAATTTTGGGGTGGGCAATGGACACCCCTTATCACTTAAGGATTTAAAATATAAATAGTAGCCGATTCTCAGACTTACTAAATATGTATTAAAAAAATCATAAGAATCGGTCAAGCTATTTCGGAGGAGTATGGTAACGAACATTGTGACACGAGAATTGTATATATAATTTAGTTAGTAGTAGTAGTTAGCGAACTTAGAATACAAATTAAAAAATCGTTTCCCATTTTAATGTTGATAGCACAAGTCTTCCGCACATGTTATTGTCATTAACTATCACGTTTTTCTCATTACAATTTCGAATTCACAAAACACTCATAACAGATGGCAAGATAGGCTGATTGTAATACTTTATCCGGTTGGTGACAAGGCGCCAGATTCGTTTACAGGTCGCTATATAAGGTTTTGCCCACGAATTTATGGTAATGTTAAAATCCCACATAGCGATTGCTTGTAATCGTATCTGTTGAACATTTGTTTAAAGCCTGCGGTAATGTTTCGTTATTATCATTTCTTAATTCAGATTTCGCTTGCCCCGGGGGACGAAGTCGTAAAAGCAAAATGTAATTTTCAGGAAAAATAAAAGAAGGTACGTAATGCTATTATTACTAGGCTATTATACATAGTAATAATACTATGTATATGTAATAAAATATAAATTTTATTGACATAACTTTTACACATTTAATAAAACTATTTTTATTAAATGTACATTAATAATAACGGAATAGAGGAAAACCCTGCCAAAACCCTCCATCTTTTAGTCGATACCAATCTGGGGAAATAAATACAGATAATACATCTGTTTTCTACAGTTGTGATACTTTTTGACATTCAACACCTTTTTTTTTAAAGCACGCGAAACGTCGGTTAAATTTAAAATTATGTTAAATAATTGTAAATACATAACTTCAATCCGGTAAAAAATTTTTTTATTAAGTATTACATATACAAATATATATATCAAATGAAGGATAAAAAATTAAAGATTTAGTAATAGTGCTTTTGACTTTGTTCCCGGGGCAAGCGATTTTATTCTTGCTTAAACATTATAAATAAACTAAGGGTACATAAAAAACCAAGAGTTTAAACTTGGTGATGGGCTACTGAACAAATGCCTTTAAATTAAAATTAATATGTTAAATCACAATCAATACATGTACGCACTCCGTCCATTAAGGAACTAACAGACGATTGATAATATTAATAAATCCAACTTAATCCTTGATAATAATTTTCTACTTACCATTAAATCGAGAGTTAACCTAAATTAGGATTTTAAATCTCTAAACGCTTAACTTCTGTAATTCCTTTATTAATAAAGTAAAAGCGTATAGCTATAATAGCACCAAAACTGTTTAAGATAATTTTAAGTTTTTAGATTTTTACTATAGAAAATTGATACTTGTATGTGTTGCTATGTGTATTCTTGAATTGTTTAATAATTAGGCAGCTCATACGACTTCTTTTTAATAAGATGACCAAAATTTTATTTGACCGCTGGCTGAAGGGTGTCAATCATATTATGTAAATAATCTAATTAATTAGCGTTGAAATTTTATATATTAATACACAAAATAAAGGTTTTAACATATATATATATTTGAAGCCCTGCTCAAATGAATGATATTGAATGGCAGGTAACGGGGTAGGGTAAAAAGTGCAGCTTATACGGTCTTCCTGTGATGCGAACCGGCTAATCGTCGATACAGCTATTACAAGTTGCTGATAAACGGTATAACTACTTTACCTGATACATATAAGATACGGAATGTGGTCTTGTGTTTGCTATGGGATAATTTTATTTGCCCTAGGACTAAGCGGTCATGTCAGAAATGCACAGATTACCACGTCACGACAGGAGAATGAATGGTCTCCTTCCTAAAAGGCTGCACCCACTAACATGGGTGTCCATAGGCTAAAGTAGTTTTGGCTGTACTGTGGGTCGGGCGTAAATCTTGGTTTTATTAAACTTGGATGTACAATTAAAAGAAATCAAAAGAGGGCAAAAATTACGTAACTACAATTAAATTTTGAAAAAAAAAAGATTCCAAATCGGTGGCATGGCAAAAATGTGGTAAATTAAAGTCTTTTTCACAATTAAATTTTCTAATATTACGCATAAGTCCATTTTTTATAATTTAATACGACGAGTCATATCAAAGTCAGATTAGTTCGAAACCATAATGTGGGTTATTTGATTTGTTAATGTTGCTAGATCTACTAAATCTACTAATTAACAGACTTTTTATAGTCTATAGTAACTTCATACTAGCGCTATTGCACCGATATATAAGTATATATCTTGATATTAGAGAAAGAAAAAGGCCAGCCAGAATATACATTTAAAATTTCTGTGTGCAAATAGATTTGTGTTGAAGCATTTGTACACGTGTTGCAAAATGAAAATAAAGGAAACATCTTTCCGCACAAAAACGACGACTTGCGGCGTGTGTCATCTGTGTTAAGAATAGCTTTCTGGAAGCTGTAGTTTAACTCTTAACCCGGTTAATTTATAGTTATCTTAAGTTTAACTTGGAGAGTTCTCTCTTATCTTAAAAATGAATTCAAATTCTCAGGTCCTTAGTACTACATGTTACGCTCATCCGCCATTAAGTTGTGGAATACGCTCCCTGACTCCATACGATTCTCTTTTCAAATCTTCTACATAAACACTCCTTACCCATATCCTATCTGTTGACTTCTGTAATTTATGTTTTTTCTTAGCTTTTGGTTTTTAGTTTATTTTTTTATTGTGTTACTTGTAATTTTATTTTTGTTAATTTGGTTATGCGAAGTGCACCCTTAATATTTCTTTTTTTAATTTTTTCATTACTTCGGTTACCTTGGAAGAGATCGCTCGTTAGCGATAAAGCCGCCTCTTGCATCCCTTATCATTTATGTTATTTGTTTTTTTTATGTAACCAAATTGAAATAAATAAAATAATTTAAAAGGCAAGACAATGTGTCCAAGTAAAGATGCGTTTGATGAACCTAATTCCTTCCAGCGGGCCTGCATGTAACCAACATTTTCAAGACCTGATGGACAATACATACATTTAAATATCTAACGAATTGGAAATACCCACATTGAATATACCAACTAAGCATTAAAGGGTCCCTAGTAGTCTAAAAATAAATTTTAAAATCTATCTAAGAGTTATTTTAGCGTCGTTCCATTTATAAATGTCTTAAACGTTTAGCAATAGCTTATCAACAACGTAAATAATATTTAATATCTTCTAGTTCATTGGGTTAAAGTACTGTTATCTGTAATTCACGAATTGTAATCACATCATGAACTATGACATGCGCTGAATATTCACTAGGAAATGCTTATCGACTTCTAATTACTATTGTTTTCATAAACTATTATTTACCGTTTACGAAATATTATAGTAAATTATTCTTATATAACTTAACGTTTTTATGAACGCATAATAGATTTTAGATTTATAATAACTTGGCCGGCTTTGCCTGGTAGGGATCGTTCACGCCGACCCTCTTGGTATTAAAAAAATGGTGGGAACGGTGGGAGCTTGTAGTTTCATGATCATTTGGCAATCTAATAGACACCTCCGCGAACGCCCCCCCGTGCCTGCCAAATCACAACATTTAAATCATATAAAGAAATTCCATTGTTACACAGCCGTCATCGACCTACGACCATAGTTGAGAGCGACCGCCGATGCCAGCAACCACCGGTTTCAAAAGTAAAAAAGTTCGATAATGATGGGGCTCCATTTTACAGCCCCGCGAGCATTCGCAGGGCAGACATGTACTAAATGACTGATTTTTACTATCTGAAGTACTAAATACTTTGGTAACTGAATTCCGTTTTACTAACGAATATAAATAATTTCGTAAATAAAGTACCTATATTATAAATTTAATTATGTGTAATAAAATAACTTAAACTCTCACTCACTATTCTATTCTGTACAAATAAAATATTTAAGTACTTTCATTTTCTAACTTAGATGCAACGAACGACGCCATAGCTGCAGCATCAGCAGGTGAAGATAGAGAAGTGGCGATTCTCCTTCAAGGACCTCACGACAGGACAGCGCGAAGAGAGGAACTGTTGCACGGCAAGACTACAGAAGAGAGCGCTTTCTCACTTTTCTATAACAGCAAGAGTAATAAAGGTATTGTAAACTGTGAAGTTATTTTAACTTCGTCAATATTTTATTATATTTTCTCTCTCAGATTTGAGTTGTTTATTGTTACACACACAAATGTCTGATTATCTAAAAATACTTGTAAATTTTATTATCCATCTAATTAAGCAGTGTACGGAATAAATAATACTAAAAAAAGAAATCGAAACTATTACACTACTTACTTTAAAAGTTTTAAAATTAAACTAACTTACAGTTAACACTAACTTCTAACATTAAGCTTCGTGTAATCTGGAAATTGTAGATGAAAACGTTTCTTGTTTTATACTATGTCTTGTCTACTACTTTCATTAAATTCTTCAATAAAAATTGAATCCACCTTTGTAACTCACACTCATTTCTCTTTTCGTCTTAACGTAAACACAATTTAACAGAAAGAGACAAAATAACGAGTAAAAGAGAGCAGTAAGACCGATAAGGTGGTTTATTTAAATTCTCAAATTTTGACCTAATGATAGATTTTTTTGTATTAAATTAATAGTTCCTTAGCCTCAATTAATATTTTTAAAACGCGTAACGATCAATCACTTGACACCGTAAGCGACCGATGGCAGCAGCAGACTTCAGCGATGATTGAAAGCTCACCTCGCAAAATCAATAAGCGATGATATTGCCTGCTTTTTTAGGGCATACTTAGCTTCTGTATGTAATATCAGCAATTTACCGAATTTAGTTATAAAAAGTACAAGAGTAATTATACACGCATGGAGAGGTTTGATTTGAAATGATTATACTACATTTTGTAACTATACAGTATAATAATAAAAATATTTAATTAAAAATTAATAATATGAAAATTAAAACGAATTTAAAAAGTTAAGTCCCTGTGCCTGTGTACCTTTAATACTGGCAGCATTTCCTCGCTGTATTGCGATACTTATTCGTTGAGCGAGGAAAGCACCAGCTCTGGGGTCACCGGTACTATCTACCAGGCGCCAACTTCTATCTTTAATTAGCGCCTGTGCACTTGAACCCCACGGCCCAAAAGTCTCTAGTCCAAGGGAACAAAATCGAAGTTGAAGGAAAGACTCTTACATTTGAGCCGTTTATTATTTTAGAAAACTTAGTTTCTAGGAACTTTCTTCATTACATCAAAGTAATCCTAAATTGTCTGATTTCTTTACTTGGCCCAAATATGTCACATATTTTACATACATACACATCAATTATATTAGAACATACAAATTTCAAATTAACAAGGCAAAAACAGGTTGGGTGTTAAATACCACCGCACTTTTTTGACGATACTAATTATCTAGGAGTGTCCGGGGGACCTTCATTGGAACACCTCCAAGTGAGTTTTGCTCCGGAAACGCGTCTAAATATTTTTATAAAAAAATTAAAGTTTTGTGTAATGTATTAAAATTTGTAAACAATCCGCCATTTTCTACTTTTCTATTGGTTATAAGTGATGTGACGTTCACTTAAAAAAATCGTGTTTTTAATTTATCGATTGTTAATAATCGTTTTATTTATTTATCGATTATTTCCTCATTTTTGAAATTTAAAGTTATAGAATAATCAACATTGAAATTAACCTAATTTCGTGTTGATAGATTATAGGGTTCCGAATTTTTTTGAAATTATCGATACCTACTCGTCTGTATTTTCTAATTAGTACTTGTATTTCATTGTTTGCAACTTTCTATATTATTTAATTTTTACTAGAATAAAGTGTTTACTTTAATATCCAAAAAGTACCCAAAACCGAATCAGAGCACCCCACTAGCCACGTGGTCTTGTCTGTCTTACCCCTAGAGTGTATATAAATAATCGGAGGCGCGGAGGAAGAGCAGCCCCCACCCGCTGTAACAAAGCAAAGCCGAGGTCGCGGAGGCTTGAATAAAATGCCTGTGCTTTGGTACGCAAGGGTGGAGGGGCTGCATTTTCCGTAGCGCCGGAGCTGTCCACAAAAACAAATATTATTTAGATTGGTTAGGTTAGAGTTAGTATATGAATATTTGGTCGCCGAAGGCGACCAGGACGCCGAGAAGCCGAGGCTTGAATAAACAATTACTATTTAGATCGGAGCTGTCCACAAAAATAAATATTATTTAGATTGGTTAGGTTAGAGTTAGTATATGAATATTTGGTCGCCGAATTTTCAATTATTTTTAATATTAAAATCGAATACAAAAATCGATTTTCACTTTTAAAAAATCGATTATTTTTCACATCCCTATTAATTTTATAAACTTAATCGGCCATTTTGAATGTGGTTTATGCTAGACTAGCGGTAATTAGTTTTACAGTGCAAAGTTTACTTTATAAATCTTTATAAAATTTTTGACGCGTTTCCGGAGCAAAACTCACTTGGAGGTGTTCCAATGAAGGTCCTCCGAGACTCCTAAATAATTAGTATCGTCAAAAAAGTGCGATGGTATTCAAAACTGTTACCGCAAAAACAAGCAAACAGTAAATAAACTAAAACTAAATAGAAATTAAACCTCATTGAGGGCGTAATACACAAAATTGCTGTAAGTGTAAAAGACTATCCTGTTTTCAGTATCTCTGGAAAGTCTGCACGGAGGTCACCTCAAGTCAGTGTCGTGGGGCCTAGGATCACATCCAAGGGAGACCCTACTTCTAATTGTGACTCACGAGAAGGTCAAACTATACGTAGGATGTCAACCCTTACACTGGCACCCAATGTCGGGCAGACACGATATATTGAGTTTGCTGGCGAATAAAAAGTTCAAATTGGTAAGTTTTCATAAAAATATCTGGGAAGAAAAGATTAACAAAAGACGAAACGTATTGTTTAGTGTGGTGGGTATTGTTTTAGTGGGATAAGTCCAACGGATATACCTATCGTCTATTCATTATACAGTAATAAAGTAAATTGATTTTTGTAGTAATGTAGTTTTCCTGATATCTATATTTTAAAAAGTCTGTGGCGCTTGTAACCTTATTAGGTCTGTGCCTCAGATTTCTGAATCTGTTTCACAATGAAATGTCAATCCAATAGGCAAGTAGATGATCAGATTCCTGTGCTTCATACGCCGTCGACTTTTTGGGTCTAACGCAAGCCGGTTTCCTCACGATGTTTTCCACCACCGTTCGAGCTAATGTTAAATGCGCACATAGAAAGAAGGTCCATTGATGCACAGTCGGGGATCGCATCTACGACCTCAGGGATAAGTCGCACGCTAAAGTCACTAGGCCAACACTGGTTGATATAATTAGTTTGCCTGAGAATATAAATTACCATTTACTGCCTTTCCATGATACAGTTTTTACTCTTATTGAATTCGGGTTTGAGACTTCTTCCAGTGTTCCTATATTCCTTATAGTTTCGGATTAAAAAGATTCAAGATAAGTAATCGTTTCTTCTAGTACCACGAAGAAAATGCTCCCGTCGACATACACGGCAGTGAGAAAGCGGCCCTTTCCTCTCTTAATTGTGACCAACTCAGTCCTCCTACTCTTGTAACAGTAGACTCAGATGTAGAGGAAGTCAAAGACTTTATTGCCAGAGAAGAGAGACTTAAAAGGGAAGAAATGCAAGGAGATGATTATAGAACGAATTATATAGATCCAAATATTTTGCCGGCGGCTCAGCCCACAGTTCCACCTAGAGGAGACATACCTAATATGGATATTGAGTCGTGTGATGGTAAGTTTTAGAATTTATTGTGCTTTTACTGATCAAGCAAGTTGTTTTAGATATTTGAGTTTATGTACAGAATTTTATTGTATGCAGTCTTGAATATAATTTAGGTCAAACAAACAGTAGACTGGCTCGCAAGGCCTGGGCATAATAAATGGGCTAATAAAAACAATAAAAATAAATAAATACACAGCTATCACTCAAGGGAATTTAGGAAATTCATTAATTATCATAGCTAAAATCAAAAACTTAAGATTATTCAACAAGTAGATATAAAAAAAATATAGCCCCTTTAACTGCTGAATTTTTAGAATCAGTTCAGAAAATTCTAGAATTATAAGCCTCGAATTCATTGACGAATTTATTAAAAGAAACATGACGTAACGTACAAATTCTACCATTAACACAATTTCCAGATGAAGTGGTCCGTCACCTCAAGTTATTAAGGGAGACGATTGAGTTACTGCGACGAGAACTAGGAGACCAGAAGGCGACCATAGACAATCTCCGAAACCAAATGAGGATTTGCTGCAGTCGGCCCTCAATTCCTATCGAGAGATGTTCCGGCTCTTCATGTTACCCTGGTTATACTAATTACTAAAAATTATTACTTCTTTAACTCTAGCTAATTTCAACATTATAATCATTGTCTTTCCTATCATTTTTGGTGTAACTTAAATTATAAACTAAATTGGAAATCAGTTAAATCTAAAGTGACCGCTAGAGAATTTTAACGTGTGCATAACTTTTTGCGTTGTATAAATGTCTTTTAATAATTTATTTCTAAATATTTTTAGTCCTACTAGATTCCCCTAATTAGCAAGGTTGTATCTAGCGGTGAATTTTAAGGTAAATCAAGCAACTTGTGGGTTTTGTATTAAATGAATTTCGCAATAATCACGTTTTATTTGTTGCCCTTCCTAAGGACCGAGACAGAGTTTCGTCGCCCACGTAAGTTTCAGTTGCTTGATTGGCCTTGGCTCCACCTTAAATGGTTTCCATAATTATTCAACTTTTGCGGGCCCACGAGACTCTGTTTTTAGGCAAAGTGTTTCCAAGCAAAAGTCTTATTATTTATTAATTAAAATACACTCGCAGGCTAATAAAGTGTGGGGCGGTTCTTTAAAGCTTGCTTTTAAATGAACTGTTTATGGACTCTTTGGTAGAAGTACGGTATATTAAAAAACCTACCAAACTAAGACAAAAAACATTTTTTACTATATCGTTGGGTTAACGCGAATACTACATGTATAATAAAAACTTCATTAACATATTTTTTTTTACAATATCTTCAATCTTTTTCAGAGATTCTCGACGGCAGTTAACTAAGCTTTCAAAAATTTGTTGTTGTGAATTAGTAAATTTGGTGAGCCTGTTTTCTAAATAAACGTCTGTGGGACTGCCTATATATATATTCCATTAGAAATAGAGTTTAGAAATTTATGTCAAAAATGAAGTCGACTTCAGATATGGCTACGTAAATTTATTCAGGAACCAATTACCTAAAATTGTTATTTTTTATATTTATTCATTTTCTTCTAACTTACTAAATGGCTGCTAAATAACTTATTTGTAAAGACGTGCCCTAATGTCAGTTTTGGTAAATGAAAATTAGGAGTTCGCTTAGTTTTTATAGTAATTATTTTAAAAATTAATTTTAATAAAAGATATGAACATTGACAGCCATTTGACAGCTGATGGTCCTGACAACATAAAACGTAATAAAGTCCTTCTAAAAACTACATTCTATATGGTTGACATATAAATTAATTTAAAAATCCTTGCTTTACTATTAAACTTGAATACATATAAAAACAAAGATTTATCTTAATCCAACCACAGTTAATACAGGAAATAATAATAATAGTAACTTACTGTTAAGACAGTTGTATAGTTGCTAATAAATAAATTATTGCAAATTAAATACGCTATAAAAATAATATAGTATAATTAATATAAATAACCAAAAATGCGTTGTCATGATGTCAAAACATATGGTCAAAACATAAGATGTGACGCTGTTTTTCGAAAATCCCCAATGGCAATATGGGATAGGAAAATCACATTACATTAGTTGCATTATTATTTGTAATAATAATATAATTTATTGCCTACAAACAATTTCAATTATTAACGGATTACGTCACAATGAAATGATTTTAGATTAATTATAATAAAAATAGCCTTTTATTCTGATACATTTATCTATCTCATTCTTTTTAGGCATCTATGTGCCCTTTTTTGACAAAGGCCTCGTCCAAAGCCATTCCTCTCTGCACAGTGCCACTCTCTGCCATGTACCACCTGCTGTTTCCTGTGGTCTATCCACCTTCTAAATTGTCTTCCTCTTTTTCGTTTATTGTACCTTGGGCACCAGTTTAGTAGTTTCTTGTTCCACTTTTCTGTTTCTCTTACCATGTGCCCCGCCAATTTCCATTTGTTTTTATTGTAACATCTGCTACCTTAGTTGTTCTCAATGATGTGTTCTTTATTATATCTATTCTTCCCTACCATTCATCTTTGTATGCTGCACTTGAATAGGCGAGTTTGAGATCCATATGTTAGTGCAGTAGAAGTATTGAAAAGCTTTCTTTTAATGACCATGCTTATTCTTCATTACTTAACATGATTGTGGTTACTTGTATGTAAATATTTATATTGCTATTAAAAATAGGTGTTCAATGTCGGAATACTGCAAGCGGAATCGAATGTGGTTCTTGTCCTTCAGGCATGGAAGGAGATGGCAGGAGATGTAGGCCGCTGACCTGTGATAGACGACCATGCTCACAAAGTAAGTTAACGCATTCATATAAAATATTGTAATATACGTTTTTAACTAAAATATCAGTGCCGCTACAACCTCTTTAGGTCTGGCCCTAGATTTCTGAATCTGTTTCATGATCATTTTTTAAATGTAATAGGCAAGTAGGTGATCAGCCTCCTGTGCCTGACACACACCGTCGACTTTTTGGGTCTAAGACATGTCGGTTTCCTCACGATGTTTTCTTTCACCGTTCGAGCGAATGTTAAATGCGCACATAGAAAGAAAGTCCATTGATGCATTTGTGTAATTGAAATACATCTTTCGTATCAAAATGATTTAATTTTAATTTAATATTATAATCACGGTTTGAAGATTCGTGTGCATTTTGGGATTACAATATTTGATAAATAAATATAATGTGGGTGGGTCCGAGGGACGAATGGTGTACACATTTCTACGTCTGTTTCATTAATCATAATTTATAAGTAGGCAGATGGTCAGCTCAGCAGTAGGAGTCCTATCCTAATATTTGCGTGTTGTTTCCACGAGAATGTAAGTGTGTGCTCCTAATTCACCATGCCTACTGCTGATAGAGGACAAATCTTTTTTTAATTTTGTTTTTTATTAAGTAACTATTATAATTACTTAAGATGTTATGTGGAATATGGTGTAATGGTTGCAGCTCCTTACGAACATTGTGTAAAACAAAAAAACTTGGCGATTTTTTAAAATGTAGTATGATATAATTCTCAAATAACACAAAGCTTCTTCTCTCGACGACATCGCGATATAGTATGAGCAAGCTTCACGTGTGTCACCGTCGTCGAGCCTAGTAAGTTCACGATCTTAAAAACCGCGTACTTTAAGTTCGTACATCTATCACCCACTTAAAAAAGTGGCAGAGAGTTTATTGCCAGTTCTTCTCGTCTGTTCTACGCCCTTGACTTGAGAACTGGCACTTTATTGATTAATTTACGTTTAACAAGGGCTTTGAATTTATTCAGTGATAATTCTCTAATTTCCCTTGGGAGTTTGTTGTAAAAACGAACACAATTTCCATATAAGGAGTGGTTTATCTTCTTGAGCCTGGTTGGTCGTACACTCAAGTTATCTCTTTTTCGCGTATTATACTGGTGAAAGTCACCATTTGTTTTTAAACTCAGGACAGTCTACTTTACAGTTACAGAGTCGCAAGGCTGTAGCTAAATTCATTTAATATGTCTGTTAAGTGATCAGATAGGAAGGCTTTATACTGGAGATGTCTGATAAATTGCTTTTGTATGAGTTCTATACGATTCCTACAAATGGCATCATTATTTAATTCATCATTTATGCATAAATAATTAAAGTTAAAATGTATGTAACTCATTGATATTCGTTTAGCGGAGTTTTGCGTCGATTCGGAACAAGGTTTCCGTTGTGAGCGGTGTCCAGGAAGACAAACAAGTGACGGACAGACTTGCCGGACGCCTTGTAGTTCCAACCCATGCTTCGGAGGGCGTAAGTCAAATTAATATCTTAAAACTATACAATAATGCTATTTGTCTTAAAAGGAATATAATATAATAAAGTACTAACTGTATAAATGTAATTAAGTACTAACTTTTTAAAGTAGACTTTTAAATTTCAAGCTTTAGGACTATAGTGAAAGATTTAGAGTCGATATTGAGCTCTAGAAAAAGTTCCAAAATCACGTCGTATATTTTTTCATAGACACTTGATGATAGAGGGCTTGAGAGTGCGTTGTTGGACTTGGAAAATTGATGCGTTCTTTTCTTGAAAGATCTGACTTGAAAGTCGGAAATACTTGGATGGCCATAGTCCTGATAGAGTCAGTACTTAGAGTAAAGACATGTAGCAATAGAACCTTTTTATGCCTAATCTATTAATAACACATTTACATAGGTGTCCAGTGCCAAGATATGCCTGATGGAGGATACCGATGTGGCTCCTGTCCTGCAGGATTCACAGGAAATGGGGAACAGTGTGTCAGAATCACTTGTAGACAGATATCGTGTTTCCAAGGTATATAATGCTAATAAAACCTTTCCTCAAACAATATTCGTAGAATTGATTCGGTGCGTTGTTCAGAATATTATAAGTTGATTATGATTTTATTGAATAATTGTTAACTTCGCTACTAGATGGCGTTACTTAATCCAACCCAAATAGTCTCCCAATTTCGCTGCCGGGCTCAGCAACTCATAGTAGATCAGTGTTTCCCATGTTTTTTGTGCCATGCCCCACCTTAGCCTTTTTGAAATGCTTATGTCCCCCGTAACACACGTATTAGGAACAAAATCACTAGAAAAAACAAAACACAGTAAGTAAATTTTCAAAACATATAGTGAAAAACGACGAGTCCATTTTCGAATTGCCCCCCTTAACAATGAAAATGGCCCCCGATAGGGCGTGTTCCCACGTTGGGAAACACTGTGGTATTTTAAAGATATTCAGTCTTATTACTAAACGCGGACTACTAATACCATCTTTGTTGCCATGGTTACGATGTTTTAGAAAAAAACATTTTTATATAGTACATTTACACTAAAATTTGTATTATTAATAGTATAATATGAGTATCCAATGCAATAAACCATTGAAAAATTTGCCAGGTGTGGAATGCCAAGAGACAGCTTCTGGTCCCAGGTGTGGTTCCTGTCCTGGTGGTTATATGGGTGATGGTCAAAGGTGCCAACACCTCTGTGACACAAGGAACCCTTGTGGGGAACGACGATGCATACCAACGCCTTCTACGCCATTTTATGAATGTGAAGGGTGCCCGAAGGGGTATGAATGGAATGGTGAGTATGCCATGTCGATTTAATGCCTTTGATTAACTAAGTACGGAAGTGATACCGTTCATAGTTCATATGAGTTCTAGTAGTGCCCCTTGTAGAACACCCCTAAAGAAATTAGTTTTAAAAGCTCAATACACCAATTTTGTACATACAATAAAGCAAAGCCCTTACTCTTTAACTTCCAATAATGATCCAGATCTCAATAATGAGTTATGAGATATTGCGAGTACTACTTACGTCCGAGATGCATCCGAAAAATGGGAATACCCATACCAATGTTTCATATCCAATAGGATATTACTGAGTACAGGAGAAGTTCCTTTAATAGTGGAATGGATTTTACTTGGGCTTTACAAATGGTATACGCATCTATATTTAAAAAAGTCAGTGGTGCTTCAATCGTTCTAGGTCTGGGCCTCAGATTTCTGTATATATTTCATGATAATTTGTCAATCTAATAGGCAAGAGAGTGATTATGAGCGAATGTTAAATGCGCACACAAAAAGAAAGTCCATTGGTGAACCGTCGATCGAGAGAGTCGCACGCTGAAGCCACTAGGCCAACACTGCTCTGATAGATACAAATTTTACCTATTAGATTTGATAAATTTGACGGCAACTCGAAGCGTTTTGCCAATACATAATATTTGAAAAGCGCTTCAATTTGTATGTAATAAAATTGAATTGGCCAAGCAATTTCTACCTTTAGGGGACAGGTGCCAACATATATGTGAGACTAGGCGACCTTGTGGTGAAAGGCGCTGTATTCCCACATCTTCTAGCGCTTTCTATGAATGCGAGGGTTGTCCTCAGGGGTATGAATGGAATGGTAAATATTTATTTAACTATGATTTATTTTATTTATTAATCAAACCTATATCTTTATTAGTAATCATACCAATCAAATATACAGTATTTACAATTTTCATAATCTACATTGTAATAATAATAATTCAATATTAATAAGCTGGCATAATGATGCCTCGGAAATGTCCTCGCTGTATTGCGATACTTATTCGTTGATCAAGGAAAGCACTAGCTCTGGTGTCACCGGTACTATCTACCAGGCGCCAACTTAAATCTTTAATTAGCGCCTGTAAGAACACTTGAACCCAACGAGCCCAAGAGTCTACTGCAAAGGCAACAAAATCGAAGTTGCAGGAAAGACTCTTATATTTGAGCCGTTTATTATTTTCCGCTTGATCTGCGCCCGCCCTAGCCGACCGCTTGCAATCGCGTTTTAATATTAACAAAATAAACATATATTATTTAATTTAAAAAAAAATATTGAGCTGTTTTTCGGTGGAGCCCTGATTCGACAAATTATTTTTATACGAGACTATATTTTTTAAAATTAATACTACAACATTTAACAAAGATTCGCTTTTGTATAACCATCTATAACAAAAAGTCAGTGTTCTTAATTAAATAAATATTAATATTTAGTATTTCTACAGTATTAATGTTATAAGGAAATTAATTTTCTTTTAATTAGGCGACAGTCAAAGATGCCAAAGCATTTGCGACTTCAGGCGTCCGTGCGGAGAAAGGAGATGTACTCCTAAGACCTCGAATCCTTTCTACGAGTGTGAGGGATGTCCGCTGGGATATGAGTGGAATGGTAAGTGGAACAGCAATTTCCAGCAAATCATTATTTATTTCAGTGTATCGAAAAAACATTTCAGAGACGTTGTGTGTTTGTGAACAATAATAATAAATCGTTTATTTGCAAAGGAAGTAGTACATTCAGATAATTTATTTATAAATAAAACCGTACAATCAGTTATATAGGCATGCAAATGTCATATTAATTATCATGATATCATGAAATAAGCAACTATTAAGTTGTTTATAATTATTGTCAAATTAAAAAAAAGGCGATTTAAAAGAGTGACGGAGAGTTTATTGCCAGTTCTTCTCGTCTTTCCTACGCCTTTGATTTGAGAACTGGCAGTAAATGTAAATTTAGAATCATTATTTTTTTTACACATGTTCATAAGTGTACATTGATAATTATATTTAATGTATTCAGGGCTTACTATTTATTCTTAAAAAACTATGCAACGGCCATTTTTCACCCGGGATTTATAGACGATATGATTATTGTCAATATTCGATCAGGATTTAATTCTACTCGCAATGTATAAGGACTTATCGATGTATCGGAAAAATGGGACGACAGCATATGTTTAATCATGTAAATTTCGATTTTTGGGTATACACATTAGGGTAACATATTGTAAATTAATACAAATGGTATCCCCAGTTTCCATTCTTGTATATTGTATTGTTAGAATTGGATAATTAGCTTTAAAACCAGGCACTCTTTAGTCTATCCCATAAAATAAAATAAAAATCGCTGTCTTCTCTATATCATGATCATTTATCAATCTAATAAGCAAGTAGGTGATCAGTCTCCTGTGCCTGACACACGCCGTCTCAGGGTCAAAGGCAATCCGGTTTCCTCACGATGTTTTCCTTCACCATTCGAGCGAATGTTATATTGACAGAATGGTATACATAGACAGAAAGTTCATCTATCTCATATCAATATGACGAATACCTTTAATATGAATCAGGTATGTTCTAAACTAAGTGACAAACATAAGTGAAAACAAATATAATGGATGCTGAGCAACATCCCCTACAACTCAAATGAAAATGGGCAGGTCACCGACTGCAGCGCCATCTGCCGGGCTGATTTGTGAATCCATCCAGGGCGCCACCCAAACGCATACAACAAAAATCATTCAAATCGATCCAGCTGTTTAAAAGGGAGTTTAGTGGTTTACACACATACAGTGGTATATATATAAAGATGTAATTAAGATGTGAATAAATAAAGGCTTATTATTATGTTCCAACTGAGTGGACAGTCCAAATTCATCTAGTTTTTAAGATATGGAAATTCACAAACGAGATGTTAATATGTACTCAGTCAGGGTAATATTGACAGATATGGTTGGTTAACGTGAGTACTACAACCCCTTAGGATTTCGACAGTGAAGTCTTTTGTAATCACAACGGTAAAAACAGAAAAAAAATCAAAGAGTTTCACAGAACTTTACAAATACATAAATACGCCATACTTTCAACTGTGTGTTGAACATCTTTTTTTGTGAAGTACGCACAACGGACCAATTAGGAGTCTAATTGCGGAGAAAGGAGTCCTACTACCCTACTACCGTCTTTTTTGTGTATTTAATATTTATAAAAATGCTATAAAATATTATTAATGATAATGTCATCTTACAGGTTACGCTTGCATAGACATGGATGAGTGTGATCTCATTCGACCATGCGACGAGATGGTGTCATGCAGCAATGTTGACGGCGGCTTCATTTGTGGACCCTGTCCTCCAGGGTTCGAAGGTAGTTCTGGATGGAGAGGATCAGGAGATGATAGGAGGAGGGAGCATTGCGTGGATATTGATGAGTGCGCTGATGGAAGGGAGCCGTGTCCTAAAGGACGGCTTTGTGTTAATACTTTGGTTTGTATGGCTTTGAAATTTTTCTTTCTACTATAAAAAATCCAAGGAGGATTTAGCTTACTTTTAATGATCGCTGTCAAGTCGCAAATATTTTTCTGGTATTTTAAATATTGTATGAGTTACGAAATAAAATTTCTAGCGAGGATAAATAATTACAAGTCCAGCTATGATCAAAATTTTAATATAACTGAAGTTCTTTGAGCTACGGTAGCTATGACATTTTCTTTTGTTCTGTTTAACAATAAAATTAATCAATTACTCCAATGCGGTAACTTTTACATTTACAACACATACAAAACAATAGATACATAGAAAAACAACACAACATCAAACAGTAATAGATTAAAATATTTACAAAAATACTATTTCTTACAGTATAGGAACTGACATGAAGCAGGACTTTTCTCAGTTCTCTCAACGGACAATTAAAATCTTTAAAAAAAAATATTGAAATTATTTCTATACATTATGTGATGTGTACCTACCTACCCATTTCGAGAAGTTAGTTTTTGCTCAGGGTAATAATAGTAACGGCGGTCGATGCAACCTCTTAAAGTAACCATCAGGCACCTTGAGACCTAGTTATATACAAGCAATTGATGTCAAGTACGTAAGAAGTCTGTTTAGGTCCTAGTTTACTTATTTTGTGGCACTATAACCTGCTTAATTAATATTTCTCTTATTCATATTTTTTACGTCCAAATTAAAATCCACTGTTGTTCAGGGTTCGTTTACGTGTGTGCCATGCGGGGGTCACTTCTACGTAAACACCTCGCGACCATGCATCGACGTTGGAGATTTGGTACAACGCTGTGACCCGGCTAGGTGTCGTCGGTTCAACGCAGTCTGTGGATATGGGCAGACCTGTGTTTGTGCGGTGAGTACTTACTTAATAGTAGTAGTAGTGGTAATATGGATCAATTATTCCCGATATGTATAATTCCTACTTTTAATCAAGAATTATCAAGATACAATTGCACAAAAGCATTTTTGAATATCAGTTTATCATCGAAGTGTGTTTGTTCTGTCTGCTATGTGTTTGTTTACTTTGGGGTTTCTTATTCGGGACTGTTACATACGTTTACATTCTTTTACTCAGATTTCATAGTACACGAGTGTGAGTGCAGCTACAGGTGACCTGATATTACTGACAGTGGTCCACTGTGTTTGACAATAATATATTAAAATACATATGTTTTAGACTGGCTGGGCCGGTAACGGAACAGTATGCGGCCCCGATCGTGATATAGACGGATATCCGGATCACCAGTTGCCCTGCAATGAAATACACTGCAAGGCTGACAATTGCCCGGATGTTTCCAACTCCGGGCAAGAAGATGCAGATAAAGATGGGATTGGAGACTCATGTGACCCAGATGCTGATGGTGATGGAATACCTAACATTCCGGTAAGTACCTAACATTCATGTAGTAAACATGTTTTAAAGAAATCATTGCACAAACGAAATCATTGCAAAATAAATACTAAATTTTTTACATTAATTTTTGTCTTATATTTAATAATAACTGTTAAGAAATGTCTTGACTAAAGAATGATTAAGTAAAAGAAATATAACCCATTTCTGCATACGTTCTTGTATAAATGCTACATTAAATTGATCACTATGTTGTAAAAAATCTACTTCTTTATTTGCTTTTTAATATTTAGATTTAACTAAGAAACAATCATTTCATAGGATAACTGTCCTTTAATACCAAATCCGGATCAACAAGACCGCGATGACGATCGCAGTGATAAGAGAGGAGATGCGTGTGATAACTGTCCCAGAAGGTTTAACCCGGGACAAGAAGATGCAGACAGGGATGGGTTGGGAGATGTATGTGACCCAGATATGGACAATGATGGTAAATCTATAAATGTATAATACGTAAGAAAGCCTTTTTGGACTCAATTTATTTTACAAGAAGAACCCAGTAGACACAATAAAATCTACCACTTAGTCACTAAAATATATCAATAAAAATGATAGGAAACAGTTCAGTCGTATGTAATGTATCTGTGTGGGTTTTCAAACAGATTTTTAAGGGCCGCTTACTGTCTATCTACTGAAAAGATAAATTATACTAATATTATAACTTTACTTTTTTTTTTCAGGAATTTTGAATGAAAATGACAACTGCCCCCGAGTGTACAACCCACAGCAAGAAGACATGGATGGTGACTATATCGGAGATCTTTGCGACAATTGTCCAAGAGTGAGGAATCCTCAACAAGACGATGCTGATAAAGACAATGTCGGAGACGCGTGTGATAGCGATGTTGATAGAGATCAGTAAGTTGTTCATTAATAATATTAAGAATAAAGCCAGTTTATTTCCAATCTTAACATAATATGTTGAATATACAGTTCTTCTTGTATACATTTTTTTGTTTGGTACTCGTTATCCTATCTTCCTTCCGTACCATTGATCGGAACCCCTCTAGCTTTTTCCAAATATCTTTATCCACGGCTTTCTTTCAATTCATTTCCTGCACACGCTTCTATATCTTCTATCCATCTTTCATCATTGAAAAGAACTATATGATCACTGAAACAGAAATATGTTCTAGTAGAAGGATTGACACACGTCAAAAGTATTTAATCGTCCCATAGATCAGAATTTCTAGCTTATGCTCATTATTGTTTGTTGACGGTCCTCGTTGCTACTGTAGCAATGATTGTACGGTTTTGTATCCGTCTAACAGCCAAAAATAGTAAACAAATTATAACCAAGCACAACTTAGTGTAGCATGATAAAAAACTTAGTGCGTTTTGTGCAAAACCAGTTTCTCTAATTATACTTTTCATAATTCACACTTCAAAAGTTTATGTAGTTTAGTTTGCATTATAGTAAAGTTTGTTAAGAAATTCTCTCTCAAAACGTGAAAATATATTTTGATAGACATTATTTTTGTGTTTAGGGATGGTATCCAAGATGGCCTGGACAATTGTCCAAACCTGGCCAACAGTGATCAACAGGATGTCGACAACGATGGCAAGGGTGACGCATGTGACGATGATATTGACGGAGATGGAATTCCTAACCTGGAAGACAATTGTCCTTTAGTGCATAATCCGGATCAACTTGATAGTAACGGTTAGTTTGATAAAAAATTTGACTGTAGGCCGCCTCCAAACACGTCAACGATTTGAATCTAAGAAAGTCTAAGAAATGCTAGAGCATCGTACGAACAAGTATAAAAAGGAAGAAAGAAAAAAAAAACGTTTATTTGATTAAAACACACACACAGTAGGTACAAACACAATTTGTTTAATCTAAAATGGGCCCAACTCAGCTTTAAGTTGCTCTTACCAGTAACGAGTAAAACAAACATTTTAACAATTGAAATAAAAAAAAAATCATAAACAGAATTAAAAAAATCTAATTACAAACATAGAATATTCAATTATGACACTTCTTCTGAGTCGTATTCTTCATTGCGAAGGTCGTGTCGCTGTAAGGTGACTCCTGCCCTGCTAGCAATAACTCTCCAACTAAATTCCCAAACCGACTGACATTTCAAAAGATAACTTTTACATTTTATTTCGAAAGAGGTAATGAGTTGAATGTTAGGTATTGCAGCCCTGCGATTCTGTAACTCACTTTTCGAACTCACACAGCGGTTTTCGCATTAGCGGTCGCTCTCAAATCAGTCGTGAAGCAGTCATTTTATGATTCGGCATTCTAATAAACAATAAACTACAAGCTCCCACCTTTTCAGAGAGTTTCAGTGAGTTACAGAATCGCAGGGCAGGTGGCTAACAGCAGACCAAGAAAATTCCCTTACTTAAAACGCACCACTTAAGAGTTAACTAGGCTTACGTTGCTACGAACATGCAAGTTAGAACAAAAAGTGTAGGTACTTTTTGAACTACCTTGCATGTTTAAATTTATTTGAGAGAATTTTATACTTTATTTGAGTTTAAATAGAAACAAAAATTTTTTTTTGTGTTTTCAATATGAGATGCAATTTTTAGGTGATGGAATTGGAAACGCCTGCGATAATGATAACGATGGTGACAAAGTTACAAACGACTTAGACAATTGCCCAAACAATTCCAAAATATTCCGCACTGATTTTCGGTAAGTTATCTTAAATACACTATTGCTATGTTTATTTACATTAAAAAATGAAGGAGATGCAGAGATTAATCGTCCACGTACAGGAATTGAAACTGAAGTGACAATTTTTTAGGAACTACATGACGGTCCGCTTGGATCCTGAGGGCACGTCACAGCAGGACCCTAACTGGGAGATAGCTAACGAAGGAGCTGAAATTATTCAGACACTCAATTCGGACCCTGGTTTGGCCGTTGGCTTTGAGAACTTCGGCGGCGTTGATTTCGAAGGAACATTGTTCGTTGATTCGCAGATTGATGACGATTACGTTGGATTTATATTTGGGTAAGTCTTCATAAAAAAAAAATTACTGATATGAAAATAAATAATGATTAAATATAATAGTTATTAATAATAATAACTTAACATATTTTAATCCCGTTTATTTAGATTTAGAGCGTTGTTACCCTTGTACCTTCAGCGTCCAATTTTAAGTCTAAGTTGCTAGTTTCGAACCCCAAATGTACAGTAATTAAATATCTATCTATGTTCACATTTAACACTTTCTTAACAAGTCGACGTAAGACGATGTGCCAGAAGGCTATTGGAGATATTTGCCTATTAGAGAAAATAAACGTTCACAAATAAACAGAATCAGAATTTTGAGGCCCAGATCTTAATAGATAGATTAGTTTTATAATCAATTGTCAAAGCAACATAATACTCCACTACCTGAAGGAACTAGCAACTTAGATGAAAATTAATTGTTCATGAAGATAGATGTAGAAACAAAAAGATTTGTTAATTTTTTAGCTTCCGATTTAATCTTCTATCTAATATCTACTATTAATAAATCTAGATATCAAAACAACAAACGCTTCTACGTTGTAATGTGGAAGAAGTACACGCAGACCTATTGGCAGACGACGCCCTTCCGAGCGGTTGCCGAACCGGGAATACAACTGAAGCTCGTCAATTCAAAGACGGGACCCGGAAAAACTTTGAGGAATGCTCTCTGGAATACGGAATCTACTTCGGATCAAGTGAGATTTTTTACCGACTTCACAATTTTAAAAACGGGGTTTTATCGAATCTCCGACAGTTTTGAGTTCCAATTCCTTTAAACAGTTTTTTATAAATTCTATATTCTCTATTATTGAAAACAACTTCTTGGCGAAGTTGTTGTGCCTAAGCCACCGGGGCCTTTGGTCCAGTCAGTGGTTAGATTGGTTTACGATGCTCTCTAGTTTGGAGGAAGGGCATCTTTTTCCCTACATACTGTAGATCATTATTTTCTAAGAAAAGACAGATAATCCTTCCGAATATTTCGGATAATTTTTTTAGGTTATTTATTATTATCACTTTATATTTAAAATATGTAAGAAAGCGGAATTTGGAGCCGTAATATTTTTAACATATTAGAAGAGAACTCGTGAAATATTCTTGTATCAAAAATAAAATAATGCTAGCTGCCATATTTATTATTTTTTGCACTAGGATTCTTCAAAATAATGTTTAATTGTGTTTACAACTATCATAAATACAATACAAAATACTATCGACATTTCGAACAAAATTTCAGAGTTTAAACTAATATGACTGTAACTGAAATGTATCAGTATCTTCATCAATTATGATTACAATAACCCCTTTTTGCTTAGTTATCATCATCCTTAATCATAAATATCATGAGGATATTTTCGAAGTAGTTGTCGCCCTATAATAATATATGTCGACATATAAAGTCCCTTTTTAGGGAAGTTGAAATTAGACACTAGCTAATCGGTCATAGATCTGCCTAATCGGGTAACTTTTAAGCTCATAGGGGTCCTAAAATAAATAAAAAGGGAGTTGCGGAACCTTATCAGCCGGCCATAACTGAAGATATTTCCAGGTAACTCTCCTCTGGAAAGACCCGCGCAATGTCGGTTGGCGTGAGAAGACAGCGTACAGATGGCGATTGCTTCACAGACCGAAAATAGGTCTCATACGTCTAAAAATATACGAAAATAACCGTCTCGTGGCTGATTCTGGAAATGTTTACGACTTTACTTTGAAAGGAGGAAGATTGGGGGTGTTCTGTTTCTCGCAGGAGATGATCATCTGGTCCAATCTGGTTTATAGGTGCAATGGTAAGTTTGTTGTATTTTTAAATATATGAGGATCAAAGTCCATAACTATCCAGTATAATCTATCCAGATATATCATCGGCCTGAAGAAACCTATAACCTTGCACCATTTAATACAAAGTCAAAATCATTTATTCATGTAGGTAACTCATTGTACACTTATGAACGTCAAAAAAGAAATATACATTAAATGCTTCTAATTTTACATTTACTGCTAGTTCTCAAAACAAGGGCGTAGAACGGGCGAAGAACTGGCAATAAACTCTATATATAATGGGCCCTCTTGAGTCAGACATTTGTCTTGACGCAGTAGAAAAAGTTTTGTTCCTAACTCAAGAAAATTCAACCAGTGTCTTTAGTTCAAACGTGCTGGTTTTATCTGAATAAAGGAGACTATTATCCCCACATGACTACAATAAGCGAACAAACTCTAGTTTAATATTAATTTTCAGATAAAATACCGTCGAATATAGTGTCCGAACTACCAACGAGGCTGCTGAAGAAACTGGAAGTAGACCATGATTTTATTTACACGTAATTTTGAAACAAAGCTTTGGTACATTAATAAATGTTAGTGAAAATTAAAAAATATTAAGTTTAAGTCTAGAACTAATCAACGCATACGCTTTTAAGATTGCATTTTAATGTTATATTAGCATTAAAGAAATAACTTACTGTGAACAATTTCGCAATTTTCTTTGAAGATTTTGAGGTGTTTTTTAATATGTATAATTAAACAAAAATAACGCTTATAAGGCAGTTTTTACCCTAAACATTAAATGATATTCTTTAAGTACAACTCGCGCCACAAGAGATGAGGTTCGATGCCCGATGATTTGCGTCGTCGTTTCAGGCTTTCAGCCTGTTGTTGTCCTCTATTGGACATAGGGCTCTCCCCTAAATTTCCAGTAGGTACGACCAGTTTCCCGCGCTTTGCATCCAGTCCCTCACTAGGTCATCATTCCACCTGGTTTGAGGCCGTCCAACGCTTCGCCATCTGTTACTTGGCCTCCATTCCAGGACGTTTTTGCCCCATCGGCCATGCTTTCTTCGGGAAAAGTTTAATTAAATATTTAACACTATCGCAAAATAGGAGTCAAAAACAGAAGTAAAATCCTTTGTTACGCGCAATACTAAGAATTTTCATTTCGCTTATGAAAAGTTTCAGAAGGTTTAATGTAAATTTTATAATATTTGCATTTTGTAAGGTTTGCAGTAGTTTTGTATATGGTAAAAGGTCGAGGTTTAGCAGGGTTCATTCTTCGTGGCGCAACTTATCTTTAATGTAAATAAATTCCTTATATTGTGTAACTTGTGACAGATGAGCCTATTTTAACCTTACGTGTTAATTAAATGATATTAATTAATTTTCGTTTTATTTATAAACTGAATACGATTAAGATAAAAACAACAACAAATTGAACACATGCTTTATGTTTACCTAAGAGTCAGAGTTGACCCTTAATTACTTTTTTTTTTCAATTAATTTTAGTTTTTTTTGTCATCTAGTTAGTTACAACGATAATAACAGAACATTTGAATCCTGATCTGTTGATGGTATTGGTATTTGTACAAAACAATAACAACTATTATAGTCAATTCAATTTCTCGATAGAACGAAGATACCGAGAACATTTAATTTGCTCTATTTATATATTTGAAAATAACGTTAGCCGAGGTTCGATTAAATTAAAATTTAAGGGAACTTGGAGCTGCTAAGCAACATAATTTAGTCATAATTGAAATATTTCTGGGGGCAAATATAAATGGTACCGGTGGCTCACCTCAGTATAAACTGGCCATGTAATAGCTAGCTTCACAAGGACCAGGAGTTTAAAACCCCACCCACTTTCTAACTCGAGACCTCACGATCACGTCTTACAATAAGCTCGTTACTTTGTTTACCGATTGTAGCTTTTGCACGAAAAATATTCAATAGAAAATTAAATTATCTTTCGTTCAAAATACCGCTTTCATATATAAAGGTTTGATCATAATACAAAACGTTTCATAAAAATGTAGATCAGCAATTTGTTCTGCGTAAGGCTGAGATAGAAAAGGCTTTATTATGACAGTTACTAAAAATGAGAAAATTTCAGAGCCCTGAGTAAATGAAAAAAGAGTGATTCTTGTAAAGTGCTTCGAGAAATAACTAGTTTTGGTAGCTCTAAGTAAACCCACTATTTCACCATGATCTAATGACGGAGCTTTCTAGCTTTGCACCTCTGCGTCTCTAAAATTACTTTCCTTTTTTTTAGATTTAAAAAATCTAGCTTGATTGATTACTTATTGTATACAAATTAGAAAAATTTGAAGTTACAATAGTGTGGTGGAAGCATAAACTGGACACAGCTTTCTGTTCACCAGGAGCTCGAACAGAGATAGTACTTATATATAACCAATCATATAGATACGAGTAACATAAAATTATAATGAATATATTGCGCGTTATACGGCACAAACCCATAGATAGCCAATGCAAGAATCCTATTTTCCACGAGAACTTGTATTCGAATGGATGTATAATTGTACAAATTAATAAATAAAATTTAAATTAATTAATTAATTAAATTTAATTAATATAATTTATTTATTATCCATAATCTATTTTTTCTTGTTTTATGTAGTGATTTTTAATGTTATATTGGTTTTCATTAAATCATTACAAAGTGAAGTTGGTAGCCAGTTTTGTTAAATTTGGAATAACAGTCTAATGTTGTTTTCCCGAATAGATTATCGTTTGAGTAATATTTATCAGTTTTTTTTTATTTTCTACGTTGAATGATGAATTTTAATTGTTTTAACGTAATTTTCTCTACTGCTATTTTTACTTTCTCCCGTATAGGTACAAATTTGATTATGTGATTTTAAGGAGCAAGTACTTTTAAAATACGCATTTATATTGCAAATAATTGATCTAAATAAGTATTGCATGTCCTTCCATAGCATATAAAGTCGATATGTTATAATGGATTCGGCCAGTGCTTTTTGGCCAGTTATTTTTTATTGCAGTGAATTTGGCTAGTATCGCTCTTCACCTCACACAGAGTTAATGTGCATTTTCCAGGAAATTCGGTCATCTATGTTTAGCCCGAGGTACCTACTTTGAATTGTGTACCGATTCTAAGGCTATAGTTGTTGATGGCCGATGGGGTACGAGTTATTAGGATAAATAGGTATTTTTGGTAGAAATAAAAAACCAAATAATATTACAAATATATTTATTGTACCGTTGTACATACATTTGTATAACACAGACATTATCACTTAAGAAACTATTTGTACACTAGTAAGGAATCCCAATAAGGATTTGATTGAAATTAGATCTTGTGCTAAAGCAAAGTTAGGAATTAAAGTACGTAAGTTTGTGCTTCGCCGATAACAGAACTATAGCGATAATACTGTATGTATCAAGCGAAAGGCATAGGCAATGGCATAGGCATAGTGTAGAATGATAACCTCGTACGTCCAGAGAACCAAACATTACAGGAAACGAAATTTTTTTTTCCTTAAAACATAATTATGTGTTTTTGTCCATAGTTTTGGATGGTAAAAAGGACTTATTTATTAATAACATAAATAAGTCCTTACTTCATGATTACACAAGTTAAATGACATAAGTCTAAGAATAAAAAATAAATGTTTTTTTGACATACGAGGTTATCATTCTACAGTGACGATATTTAGTCATAAACCAGTACTAGGTATACCTTTAGGTATTTTGTTAGTTTTAGTGTAGTACTTAACTTCCATACCCATAAGTTTAGCTAAGTTACATGCAAAGTATAAAATATAATTTTACATACAACCAAATAACAACCATTATAACTGATAAAGTATTATTAGGCAGGCATTACAAAAAAGTAAACTCGATAAAACATTTTGTAGTGAATAATTCATGTGTAAGAAAAAATATCATCCCTAAGAGACAGTAATGGATCGCAGCTGGGGCACAGGTATTATGACAAATTCTCCGATTCCCGCTCTATAAATTTCTTTGCTCAATTATAAAATAATGTTCTTAGGACCTTTAGTAGTAAATGCACTTCGACTGAAGATTTAGTTATATATTTTTACCACGTAAATAAGCATGAATATTATCGCTATAGATCCACTATCCCCATATGTGAAGAGACAGTCATTTATTTCATATAAAATAACCTTCTGATATTTACAAGATACAATAAAATTTGCTACGAATAAACAGACAAAAATTATATAAAATTGCCTTATTAACCTATTATTTAAATTGTATATTATGATATTTTAAGTGTTTCATTAAGTACCTTCATTATTATCCAGGTCGATGTTTTTGATATGAATATTTTATTAAAAACTATTTATTACAAAATGGTACATTGCACTTAGACGGTAGAAGATAAATACGGTAGGAACAGTTTTTTTTAGTTTTTACGAAAACCAAAAGCGTTGAAGTATGATTGTGCAATGTGCTCGACACTTGCGATTTGTGTTCCTGTTCCTACATCGTTATTTATTTAACCCGTGGGGTAACAATATTAAACTTCAATATCCAGACAATGTTCATCTCAAGGTGATAGTATGTTTCTTCTTGAACTAAATAAAATTAAAAACAAAACACTACTGAATATGTTGTTTTGTTTTACTTTTAATTAAACACAAACAGTGACCTTCGATCCAGAATTATTTATTCGAGTTTAATTAAAAAACTTTATTAAACTTGTATTAAAATCTAAGTTATAAATCGGTATTGCCTTAATTCGCTACTCTAAGACAATTTACATTATATTCGCTCATATATACAAGTTACTTCAGAAATATTGTTTGCATAAAATATTTGGTACAAATGAACACATTGTGATTTAAATAAAACGTATAAAACAATTCCTGTTTTAATCAAACGCTTGGATTATATAAAATTGCACATTAGAAAGTTGATATGTTAAATATGATATAAGCATGGAGCTATATTTGCCGAGATTTAAAATTTAAGTAGTAAATTAAGAGTATATTTCAATTTAAATCATATTTTTACTAAAGGATCCGCCAGCTACAATTAATTTCATTAACAAGGTGAATATTTTCTCAGTTCAAATACTTCTCGACATTATTTACATCTCACATATTATTGTATTATATTGTCCAACATTTATATTCTATACAAAACCGTACAATAATTATAAAATGAGATGCAGATTATTTTATTACAAGCTGGCTCACTTCACTAAGTACAAAAGCACGTAAGTACATAATAAAATAAATAAACAATCATCAATACAAATGCCGTAGATTTTGTAAGTTTGCATTATAATATTAATTGCAAAATCTTTATACGAATAGTAAATTCATTAAAAAACATACGTGTGTCAAAAATATAATAACAAATATTTAATCGTAGATTTGATTTAATTCGAAGTTCATTTATTAAAAAAAACAATGATTAACAATTCGTGAACCAAATAAATTCAATAAATACCGTTCACTTCCTTTGTTAAATTCAACATAGATTTTGTTTGTAAGCCTCCAGGCTATTTTAAGAGAGATTTTAACATTTTATTAAGTAAAAACACAATACATATTTAATTCATATTGATTTACTGTTACAATCAAACTTTTGGCAATTTAAATCTCTAGTATCAGCTCAAATACCGCCTGTAAAAATCGAAGTTTACTTCGCAAAGTTCCATGCAATGTTTGTTTTTAATTAAAAAGATTGAAAGTGGAGTTTAAAACTTGAACCTAGATAGACGTTGGTGAAAGTTGAATTAATAAAAGAACAATTTCAGATTCAAACAGCGAACATATTAATGTTTACAGAATTTGTAAAAGCAAATGTAAATTCATTCACAATAGTGATATAACATTAATAAAAAAAATCAGTGGCGCTACAAACATTTTAGGTTTCCAGATTTCTGTATCAGTTTCATGAACATTTGTCCATCTCATAGGCAAGTATGTGATCACCGTCGAATTTATGGGTCCAAGGCATGGCGGTTTCCTCACGATGTTTTCCTTCACCGTTCGAGCGAATGTTAGATTAGAGTCGCATGCTGAAGCCTGTATACGAACGAAACATATACTAGGTGGAAACCATGCTAAGAGGGTGAGCCTAGTATTTACTAGGATCTATATTCGTCTATTTTGACGGCGTTGGTCTGGTACGGAAAACAGTCTGCCCATTAGGAATACTATTTTTTTAATAAAATTAATAAAACATTCAGATAAAATAACTCTTAGACTAGTAGAATATTGTAAAATTCTTTGAGATTGATATCAAAGTCAATAATATATTTTTTTTTAAAAGAAATCAACTATGACCTAGCTGACACACTGTTTGTCTGTATGTTAATTATTTCTCTTTTTATAAAGAGTAATGAAAATCTATAGTTGCAATATGTGAGCACTATATAACAATAATTCAGTTATCTAATGCATTGTTTTAACTATGCACCTATTTTACTTCAGTAAAGTAGTTTTTTTTTTGTTCTACGTACATGGTTTTCACATATAATTATCAAATCAATGTATACAAAATATTAAAAAAAAAGTAAGTATGGAGTTTCTTGCCCATTCTTCTCCATTTGAAACCTTTTGGAACATTTTTTTTTTAATTTTTTATTTGTAATTTTGACTTTCAAAAATTCCTTTTTAATAGGCCTAATTGAAACAAATTATTTGACTTGACTTGATGTAATAGATTTTAAAGATTAGAAACGAGAAACGAAACCACAGATTAAATAAAAAAGGTAATTTGTAACATTTATAACGGAATGCGTATATAAAAACTAAAAATTAATGGGGTTTAAAAATACAGCTGTAATAAATTAAGGTTTATGTGTGATTAGAAACGGAAACGTCATAATGTTTGGTTAGTGTGAATGTTCATGACAACAATGTACGAGGTTGCATAACAATGACAATTTGACACTAATTCAATATGCTTTCTGTTGCAAACAAATGGTGCATTTTGCAAATATATTGTAAATAAATTATGTATGTGTCCAAATCATGCTTAATATTATATAAAAGTGCTACACTAGTGCCCAAGGTACAATAAATAAAAAAAGAAGACGACATAGAAGGTGGATTGACCAAATTAACGAAACAGCAGGTGGTGGAAACAGAGTTTCACAGTGCTGACAGGAATGGCGGGATTTAATGGCCTTTGCCAATAATGGGATACCTATTAAGAATGAGATAGAAATGTATATGTGTTTAGGTGTAAAATTATCTTAAATAAAATGCTATTATTATAGATAACGCCCGCCTGTGTTCTGGGAAGTACTTTTTTTTATAGAACAGGGGGAAAACGGACAGGAGGCCATGGATACTTTCAATACGAGAGGGCTCGCGAGTGTGTTGCCGGCCTTTTAAGAACGCTCTTTTCTTGAAGTACCCTTAGTCCAATTGGTTCGAAAATATTTCAATTTGAAACCAAAATTCGGACAATCGAATGTAATTCAATATTGGGTTTCTATGCATATTTTTGTACCAGAAACATGTGTGTTTCGGGTTCTAATAAACATATATTTATCAAAAGACTTGTATGAGATGGCGTTAGGATAAACTTTATAGATCATTAAACATCCTATCACTAATCTAGCACGTAGATGGGAAATGAAACGCTTGTCACTATTACAACTATTACATCGCTTAAATGCATACTAAATTATGCCTTAAACCATCCCCATAAGATACATTTTCCTGCATCTGATGTGGCATGTACATCTTTCGGGGTATAAACTGTTCGTGCTCACTGCAAAACGGTGAAATTTATAGCTTCACAGCAATATTAATGCGAGTATTTCACAGTCCTACGTGGTACGGCCTCATTTTTTAATTTGAATGGAAAATGAGAGGAAATTGAATTGTTAAATGGTGTGTTCGAAATGAGGTATACTCAACTGGGCAATTGTACACTTTGTTTTTTGCTGTGTGAGCATTGTAAAATCAGAATTTTCAGTATGAAGAAGCAGGTGAATTCGTATTGTAATTAATATAAAAACGACATCAGTCGATACTAAAGATTTTTGAATTAAGGTCATGATGAAAATAATTTTGTAGTTTCTATCTCGCCGCATTGCGCAACAATATCGTCTTGTCACTTGTCAACATCGAAACAAATGACAAAATACATTTCCCACATGTTACCGATACAAAGATTAAATTAATATTATGTATATATTATTTTATTTAAAGGTTAAAATACAAATTTACAAACATGAACAGGTTTTTAAATTCATAGTGATGTGATTGTGAACCAGCTTTTAAAAGTGCAAATTGATTATGCGAAATTCTTAAATTTTTCCTCTGAAAACATCTTAAAAAATCTGAAATCCTTTACTCCTAAATTATAATACTTTTTTTAGATAACAATTTCTATTTAAAAGTAAAAAATTTCACGCGTTATCAGCATGCTTTAACAATATTTCGGTTCTATTCACCGGTAAAATGATCGGAGAATTACCGGTTATTCCTAACACATTGTCTCTGGCCGTGATGGCCCGGGTGGCTGCGGTTGCTGTGGTTGTTCGGCTGAACGTTGTCTCGGAAGTTGAGACGAATCGAGGACAATTGATGGTCGAGGAGGGAGGTTTTCACTGACCATGTGCGATAGTGATAAATCGCTCGACGCGTTTGTGTCGCCTGGAATAAGATTTATTGCGAAATTTAAGTTTATAAATGGGTGTTTCATGAACCATGTATAGATACACTAGGCCTATAAGTTCGTTAAAATAAGCTACTTTTTAAATCAAAGTCTGAAATAGAAATTGAGTGTTAATTATATCGCTTTGGGAAATATACGTAACGAAATACGCGACAAAAACGTTTTCTTTCATGTGATATTTGACGGTGATGCGGCTTCTTGTAGTGAAATGATCACATCGGCCGAAATCATCAGCCAATCAGATCATCGCACGTCCCATAGGCTTCGATTTTTGTACTCACCATTAGAATTTTGTATTCGCTAAAGATAAGATAATTTTTTTCCAAAAGCATTTTTTCTTATAACAACAAGTCTTACACAGACGGCATGAGTTCTTGTTCACCGTTCGGTAATAGCAAAAAATATATGAAACCAATCAGAAGCGCAATAAGAAAATTTACAAGTAATATGAGTCTCTTACCAGAAGGCTGCCTCGGTACGGGTAATAGAACATCTCCGCAGCCATCTTCTCCCAGCAGTGGTTGCAGAGGTGATGGCAAGTCACGGGTATCTATCGCCGACGCTCTACGAAGAGAGTGCCTGCTCAAAAGCAACGTTTATCGTTATTTGGCAATAGAATTCAATGAATAAATTTCTAAAGAGACAATTTATTTCTAGTTAATTCTCAAATGGTTAGTTATGTATGATGCAGGAAATTAAACAACTACAAGGACTGACCAAAGTGCTTCTGTGTTGATGGCGTTAGAAAATAAAAAGACCAACAATAAACTAATACTGAAATGTCACCATGCACTGGAGACAATGACCCTGACAAACAGGGTTACCCAGTGGATGAGCTTGCACAGAGCATCCGGCTTGCCCGTACTCCTTCCCTTTCCTAAGATCCAAAGACCTCGAAAATCACCGTTGGTCGCAAAACGCGGAGTGCAGACATTCCAAAATGGCACTGTCAGCAGTAAAACCGCGAGTGCCAAAGCGACTTTTATGCCTCAACAGAATTAATCTCAAAATAATGATAGGGACAATTACGGGCCACTGTCTCCTAAATAAACATCTCTTTGCCCTTGCCGCGACAGAGATTTTCTGGTGCAGAGGCTTCAACGAGGAGGAATCAGTCACCCACGTAGTCCTGGAATGCGTGGCTGTGGCTTCCAAACGAGTGAAATCCTCGGAACAGTGAGGCCTGCGAACTTCTGAGCTTCTGGAAGGAGCTAGGCTGTCTTAATTAGCCAGGACTAACCGTGCAACGGACCAAAGTGCGCCCTATAAAGTGCAGAAATTGACCCGACTAACTCACTAATTAACCAACTACCGACGGCCAAATTGAAAAGCGTGGCAGCATCTAAAGCAAAATAACAACTTTCGTGAATCTGTGATTGAAAGTATAGATAATAGAAGGGCTGGCCAATACGCTAAAGAGATGAAGATTATTCGTGAAACCGACCAAATGTCCCATACGCATGGTTACCTCTGGTGCGGCAAGCGCCTGTCAGTGACAGTGAGTAGCGTGGTGTTAGCGGGAGGCTGTTGCCGGGTTTCCTCCCCACTGGTGTTGACGCAGACGCTGATGCTGATGCCGCTCACCTCCCCCTCTCCACCGGCCTCTTCTTCCTCGAATCTGCCCAGGACAGACTCCATTTCTAGGCTACGGTCCAGATGTTACTTACAAATGTTTTATGCTTGGTTTAGATTACAGTTGACATATCTATGTGATGACATTAGTGAATCAGATAAACAACAGCTTGCATAGTTTATTTATCTGTGGCTGAATTTCCGTGACCCCGATATGGAGTGGGGGGAGTACATTTTTGGGTCTGTTTTATGTCTAACAAACATCGATTATTTAAACATGCCGGTTTCCTCACGATGTTTCACTTAAGTAAAAAAGTAATGTATATTTTTTTGCAGACTGTGCGGATGTAGGCCGATGGGTGATTTAAAATTTAATATATGCTTAATATTGCTATCACACTGGCTAGAATTATATACACGAAGCCAAATCGTTAACGAATAATTTGATAGCCTGTGAAGCGACATTTATATGTTAATGGCAATTTCAGTCAGTAATTTCGCGTTGCGTAGCATGATACAATTATAAATCAATTTATGATAAAACAATCTACAGTGATGTAACAATTGTGTTTTTACTTTTTAATTAGAGTCAACAGTCGACCGTACAATGTAATTATATAATGGCGACATCGGCAAGTACAATAATAATTATAATCAAAACTCTGTCAGACCAGTAGATTTAGCAAGAAGATGTAGAAATACCAAATCTAACAACGAATGTCATTACTGATTATTTGTAAGATTAGGACACAACATTTTCCTTCATCACTCACCGACGCTGTATCAGGTTCTCCATGATGTTGTAGTCATCTTCCTCAGCACCACGTAGATGCTCCTTCTCCATGAAGAGGGCGAACTCTGGATTGGACATCTCACTAGCGTGTCGCCGGCGAACTGATGGTGACGTGGGACGGGCGGGCGAAAGCAGGCGCGTTGCTATTGGAGTTCTAAAGTAGAATATGTATAAATGAATCACTAGCATTAATTTAGCTTTAAGAAAAGTATAGAACAGTAAAAGTTCACAAAAGCTCATTTTCTTATATGATATTTTTACCATATTTATTTAAATGTGTATAACCTTGAAGATGAGATTGCATGCATTGAGATAAAGAAAATTGTGCGCATCCCTGCCCCTGAAAGTTGAAGGGGTATATGGGAATCGACGCATCACGCATACCAGAATGTCTGCTATTCTGACACTGGGTGAGCAAAACCACCTCAAGTAGTTTCTACATGGCCGCGTTACATAGGCTCCGGGGCCTCTCTCGCATTCTACCAGGGCCTCAAAGGCATAACTGTTACGCTCGAGTTCTCCGGTGCAATATACATTACATAGGAGGTGGGCATATCTTCAACTATTTACTCCGTTAGAAGACGTTAGAAGACGCGGACCCTAGGATTCATCCTACAGCGCTCCCTATCTCGTTGTGCTCTCTCCTTCTGTAGCATTACTTGCTCTCAGAATGATTCCATACCTCGTCATTGCCGACCTTATTGGATAACACAAGGTAGGCCAAGGTTGTTACCCAACACGGAACTAAGATTATGACGGAGCTGAAAATGTGTATAACCTACAAAGATTTAATAACACATTTTATTTATTTATGTCACCGACGTGAGTGACGTCGTTTTAGAAATACTACTCCTAACAGTTTCCTGGCTTTAAGCGTGACACCGATATTAGGTGCACTGTAAACGAGTATATGTATATAATAAAGTAGGAAACAGTTATACTGTAATAACATTACACCGAGACGTAATTAGTCACTCTGAACGACCATTAAGTTGCGCTGACCGCACTGTTATGCACCAAACTTTACTATATACAACCTGAAAATACCAGTAAAATTGTGCCTTTGAAAAGAAAATGCTATAACATTGTTTTATTTTTCTGTTACTGTTTTAATATTCATTCTGAAACTACTAACTACTACGTTCACGTCGGAGTAGTTTCACAATTTTTTTTGCTTCAAGCAACATGTAACTAGTATTGTCTTTGATTGACATAACTTTTACACATTTAAAGAAAAAACTTTTTAACCGGATTAAAGTTATGTATTATTATAAATTTACAACTATTTAACATAATTTTAAATTTAACCAACGTTTCTCGTGCTTTACAGCGTGCGTGGTCACGGTGACTGAAGACAAAAGGTGTTAAATGTCAAAAGTATCACAGCTGTAGAAAAAGTTGTATTATCTGTATTTATTTCCCCGGAGTTGGTATCGACTGAAAGATTTTGGCAGAAATGGTTCACGGTGTCCTCTATTTTTGCGGATTTTTTATCTTGAGATTTTAATTTGGATATTATTGGATCCCAGGTGTTTGACAATTTTAGGTCGTCTTCTAAAGTTTATTTTCTTTTAAATGTGTGTGTCCTGGCATTTCACTATTTAGTCTGTAGGTATAAATTAATATGTGTATTTAGTCTGATAACTAGAAATAAACAGAACCGTTCGTGAAAGCTAGGTTTTAAATGCTAATGAGTTGCTTTATTACGTTTTGCATAAAAGTTTGAAATAATGGGTTTGTCTCTAGTTATGAAGAGTCATTTAAAACTCAGTGCATCATTCTTTTTATGGAAACTATGCATAGAGAATAAACTAAATTCATAAATGCTGTCCCCACAATCTATAATTTTTTAACATAGTTAAGATACCATAGTCTAAATTACAAGCACACAAAAATATCTTATGGTAACCTAAAGTTTGATGTCCAATTAATGAACTGGTTTTTTGGTTTTTTACTTAGAGATCTATATTATTAAGTAATGAAACTTGGCTTTGGCCTTTTGGCCTTAAAACCTGACGATCGTAATTTGTTTACAAAGTTTTGCGGTATCACGAGTTAATTACAACTCATTATTACACTAATACATTCGACCCTACCTTGGTGTATGCGGTGGTGAGAACAATCCATACACGGTTTCCAATTCGTCTGTGATGCTGGTGTATTCGTGCATTGCAAGAAGAAGGGAGCGCGGTGCTCCACCCACACGGGATCTAGTTGACGGTGCACCGGTTGCCCCATTTGCCTCCCAGCCTGACTGACGACCTGGTTTAACCCGTTATATCATTAATAATACTAAAAGTATCGGTGGTGTCAGAGAGTATTTCACTTTTAAGATAATAAAAGAAAAATTCTCTTGCTTAACACGACTGCTGAATGCAAACAGAATCAGTTATTTAAAACAAAAGTGCGTGCGTACAAAGTACACATGTCAGAAGTGAAACTTATTTGTCAATCTAATTTTCTCATGTTCATAGTTATACAAATCTAAAATTAAGATTTTCCAGTCTTTCTATATTAATGAATGATACTAAGGCTAATTAAAAACCAGAGCTAAAGTTGTTATGTACATATATAGAAATACCACCATAAATATGGTAACAATACAAACAAAACCAACAAAAAAAAAATGGTAATTTCGTTACTTAATAAAATAGTAATGATATGTATTAAGAAAACCATCGGTGTTCAAGTCTTCGTGACGTTCCGTAAAAATTTTAGCCTCATGCGCGTAAAGAAGTTTCACTTCAAAAATGTAATTATTTCGTATTTAAGGAACTTTTATTTAAATTAATATGTAATACAGTTTAGTTTTGTTATTACACAATGTACTACTATAATATTACCTGTTAAAGAATTGTGTACAGAACCGGCATCTACTGCAGAATTGTCTGGCTCAGAATGGGTCTGGCTGTGTTGTCTTCTGGGTGCCAGGTGATGAGAGGAATGCGGTCCTCCCATTCCGCAATCATTTCCGCCCTCAGATCGTCTGCGAATAACCACCACGTTTAATATTTACACATAATTGCATTGCGATTGTGTATGTTGTGGATTTGGTAATAATTGAAGCTTAATGCAGTTTACATTTGATATTCAATTTAGATTTAACGGATTAAAATATTCTAATTATACAATTGTTGCATGTAAAATTTTAATGATTCATGTATGATATATTCTGGTAAAATTCTTACCTCTGAATCAAAAAGTATATACAAAAGTTTAAAATGTAAAAGTCAGATGCAAGAAGAAAGTGTTATAGACAAAGATTAAACTTCTAGAGAGATTTAATTTACAACAAAAACGCGTGAAACTCGGTTTAATGTCGCTTTACGTGTTTAGATCTTAGTGCAGTGTAAGTAATAAATGAGCAGGTTAAAGCTGGTGTTTTAGACATTGACATTAACTACATCTAAAAGCTAAGCCAACTGCATAATAACCGTCACTTACTGTTTCCACAACCGTCTCCTAACAGATGCAAGTAAACAGAAATTAAAATTTAAAACAATTGGTGATGTCCAATTTAGTTCAATGATAGCCAATTGGATGATGAATTAAGACATGCTAACTAAATGATATGAACTGTCCTGCGGCGTGATTCTACCCTTTTCAGCGGCGTCTAATGTTAGGTGCTAGTTCTCTACTTGTCGAAAGTATCACATAAGATATCGGTGAAGTATTTTCGAATTTCACGTATTTATAATTACATTTACAAACATAACCAATACACTAGTTTAATTGCTTAGAGATTCACTCTAAGAATACTATATAATAATCCGTAGAAGCACTACGGTTCAAATTTTCAGTAAATGAAAATACAGTAGAACCTCTTTAAGTCGTACTTATCGAAAATATCCAAAACACGAAAAAAATAATGTTGGTCCCGTCCCTTGGGCAAGAGCCCCAATACCTCCATTAGGTGTCAGGTGTTTATTTTGGCTACTTATTATTATTTTGATTATATTGTATGTCAATCCAATTTGTTGAGCATTGTAACGGACAACCACAGAACGAAATTCCTAATGTGAATTGATATCCTGGGAGAAAATTTTCTTAAATAACTTTATGATTTATAATGTATCTCTACCATAAAAAGAACATATTGGCAATGGATATGTAGAAAAATACGTACCGTCGGGCGTTTGCAGTGCGGCGTGTGCCAGCGGAAGTGGTACGTGGACGAAGGCTGTTGTTATCCGGCGGAATTTCACGCACTTCCGGTAAGAAAGCGTCATCATTTGATGATGGCACTACACATTGTAAAACATTTAATTTTTATTAATGCACAGTGTTTTCATTCACTTAATATTCAAAATGTTTTAGTAATTTGACTGTAAATCATATTTTTGTAAATTTATAGATTTTCGTCTAGTATCGGGCCAGATTATATATAACAATAAATAAATGTAGCATTATCATGTTCAGACATTTATGTACCGTTAGCAAAACTAACATTTATTTCAAGGAATAATGACATCGTATTTACTCATTTTAACAACAAAATTAGTGATTTTTGTTGGCATTTTGTCATTTTACGGTACATCAGCATCTTTAGATTAATAATTTGCAAAATAAAAAATAACAAAGCACCTTTCTTATCATCACTGGGTTCTGTTCTGTTGCTGTCAGATGACCGTTGACGTGCTGGAGTAATGACCGTTGGTTTGACAACTGTCACGTCAGGCCCAGCAACGCTTGCGCCGGAAGAGGTGGATGTAGAATCCGGTTCCGGTTCCTTCACAGCGACGACTTCCGGCCCAGATTGCGGAAGTTCATCCTGTAAAATTTTGCATTTAGAACTAAATAGATTACTTTCTGATAATTCAAATAACTAGTAATTGATTATAGTGCAGATTTTTTTCAGTATATAAAGCTTTTATTGTAATAGAGGAAAATGTAAAACAGTGGAATCAGCGTTATAACACTCTTGGATTCTATATGCAATATACTAGTTGTAACATTTAATATACATTTTTGTAATGAAAATATAGTCGTTCGTAAGTTCTTCGACTCGTTACAACAAGTATTTAGGATATTGAACTCGAGTGCTAGACAAGATAGGATCCACATCCAAAATGGAGATAACAACATGAAGCTGTCTGATGAAAGTTATGTGTTAAGTTCACTGAATCTAAAGAATAAAATACAGTTTTTATTGGCTTCAAACTATTGTTAACTTTCGACTAAATTATTTATATAGACAGTGTATTATTGTTACACAATACAAACTGTATTTTATTAAATCGTGATGCGTAAAAAAGCCGTCGTATTTTGCAAATAAAAGTACATTCTAGCTTTATAAATGTTTCGTCAAATAATTAACTTTACAACCGAACCAAAGGAAATTAGAAACGTTGTTGCGAAGTGATTTTATTGGAAAACAAAAGACAATGAATGGATCAATGGGTGCTTACGTCGGAGGGCTGTGAGACCTCGTCCTCCTCTTGTACGGGACGGACGATGAAGCGCGCTGCGCCCGTGTCGCTGTCAGACAGCACCTGCCCAGCCACAACGATGCCACATCCACTCAATTTGAATTGTGATTCATTGCATTCGAAGTATAATCAAAATGGAAGTACTAGCGCGCAAATTTAGCCAAAAGCTATGTTTTATAGTAAGAAATAAGAATTCGAACGCAATATCTATTTTGTTATATTAAGAATAACGAAAGTTATCAAGTTATATATAACTTTTACGCAGGTTTTAATCAAAACTAAGATATGTAGAATACATTCTGTCTTTGTACATGTTTTAACTGCTTAAGTTTAAGTTTTCTGACTAAACTTTAGCGGGAAAATGTTGTCAAGACATTAGTAATTTCATTTATTCGTTTCTGTCATTGAATTCTGAATATTAACGAATCACAATACAAATAAAGCAAAAACAGAACTTTTGGAAACACCAGAAGTTCGCTAAAGCAAACATGAACAAATGGATAAAATCAAAGTTTGGTTAATGAACATGCCGACACAGCAAATAAAAGTACATTGGTAAATAAAACGACACTGTGGTTACAATGGACAAATACAACTTCTGATAAACAATACACAATACGTGATATTATCGCGTGATATATTAATGCCTGTCATGCTATGCCCACTCGTAACTGTCAAATGCCATTGTCAACGTTTACGTGATTGAACGATTGTGTCAAGGATACACAGATCACTAATTTTTGTTTAACTTAAAAAGGCGTAGCTAGTTCGAATCTTTCTTACATGATTTTAGTCCCTCGAAATCGTGAAATATACTTTTTCAATCATGTGGTCAAATGATGATTCTTTTCTCCCTCGGAATATCTTAGTATTTGATCTAGTTTGCAAAAATCATAATATAAATTTATCACGCGTTGATAACAGTATTAACGATATATGTGCGTTGTTTTAATAAAATTTAATTATATATGACAATCGCAAATGACCATTACAAATGGGCATAATGTTATTCCACATCTAAAGTCTTTAAGATTTCGCTTTCGGCAGTTCAGTATCTTGAACATTGTAGTAATGAAATGGTCAATTAAGAAATTGTGTTCACGCGTTTTAGATTTTATTATTTTAATATTATATCACACAAAAAGTACACTTGTTTGATCCTGACTTCATACGTCCTGTACAGCCTGGGTACATTGATAAGTGTATTTTAGAATCTTTACAGTAAATTCCGTATTTATAGTAAATTACTAGCTGAACACAGTGACTTTGTTCGTTTAGGTAAGTCTGATAATATACATATGAGTAGGCGTGAGTTCCCAATATACTGGGATGTCCGTTGCATGGTTCTCTTGTCCAACAAAACTTAGTTATTTTTGTTTTATATATGAAGGACATTTCAAACTCAAATTGCTTATAAAGAAAAATCATCCGGTAAACAGTAGGTATATACACTGTAGGTAGGTAGGATTTGTACACCTTTAAAAGTTGTTAAACAAACTTTTAACTCACCTCAGACCGGTCGCTGGCAGTCCTCAGCCTAGCTCCACAGGCTTGGAAGGTGGGAGGGGGCGGTCCCAGGGTGTCAGTGGAGCCGCGATTGACGAGGGAGGGATGTGTCGCCATGAAACGATGTATCACCGCTAAGTGATTCATTGTCTGTTCCGCTACGTCTTCTAGCTTTCTTAACCTAAACTCTACGCTCTGGAATTTTATAATACTTTGATTTATGAGCCTCTAGTTAATTTTACTAGATAGTTAGGTAATAATATTACTAGAATAGAATACCTATTATAAATTAAGCTCATTACACTATTGAGATATTGGCGTGGTAAATTGCATTATTCCTCTCAGGCAATTTAATCTAATTCTATGTACGCATCCAACAGAAAGTAGAAATTAAATCTGGACGATATTCGAAATTCACTTACATTATTATATTATATTAACTTTGTTATATAAAATTTAATAATTAGATAAAAACCTATTCTTTTTTTACCTGGACTGATTGTATTTGGCAATTAGCTTTTTGATTTAAGTCTTCCATTTTGGTCGTGATATGCTCTACTCTGTCCGTCGTATTTCTAACTCTCTCTTCTAAAGAGTTGGATAATTTTATTTCCTAAAAATGAAATGTTTTGGTTACTTTTATCAGATTTTACTACTTTCAGTAAAAGTTACGTACAAATCAGTAAAAGGTTTATTAAGAATGCTAGTCCCTGTGTTGTGGGTAACCAGACCCTCCTCCCTGATGCATATATTACAAAAAAAAAAAATTCGCGGCCCAATTTAATTAATTAGTATTGTGATTCAATAATGCCTAAAACTTCAAAAACACATAATGGAAAAGTACATATATATTTCATTTATAAAAAGGTACATATATTTTATAGATTCGAACCGTTACCGGCGATTTTATTTATAATATTTCTCTTAGTTTTTTAATAATTTCACTTCATTTCATATAAAATATTTAACTCAATAACCGAATAAAAGCTTACGAATAAAAATTGCTTTATAGAATTTTAAACTAATAAACCGCCACGTTCGAGCTTTCATTAGGATTTATTAATAACTTACTTGTTCCCTAAAATAGCCTTCAACACACTCCTCCTCAAAGTCATATAGCCTCTCCATATCCTCTTTTTCCAGGAACAGCTTCAGTCCGTTGTCATACTGAAACCTCTTGTGTGACACATTCCTTGTGACCCATTTGCAAGTCGCGTAAATGTGACAAAACGTTATCAATGGAGGTGGTAGTACCGGCTTCTGTTCGTACTCCATTACCACAGTGAATCTTTGGAACATCCACACCTAGACATAATATTATACGGTTAGACTATACGGGCATAATATTATACGGGCAAACGAGCCTGTGGGACGCCCAATAAAGGCAGTCATCGCAGCCCATAGACACCCATTTTAGTGGGTGCGTTGCCGGCCTTTGAGGGAGGAGTACACTCGAATTTTGAATAGTTGGAGGTCGTATCTCTCATGGAAGACCCCCACCGGAAGTCGAGAAAATGCCTTGTGAAACAGGAGGCAAACGGGCAGGAGGCTCTCTGATGTTAAGTGATACAGCCGCCCATGGACACTCACATTGCCAAGCTCGGTGCTCAAGGCTCGCAAGTGCGTTGCCCGCCTAATAAGTGGTAAAAATAATGACTCGACTCATAATATAAAATATAACAACTTGACAAGTTTAAACACAATAATTGATCCGCTACTAGATTAGTCGACAGACAAACAAGAGTTAGATGTTTTAAGGCAATTTACAAAATTACTATTTTGGTCCCATTCTGGATTCACACTACTGCAACTACTTGCCACAGATTGCCACACACCTTATCTAAATCCGTCCAGTACCTTTTGGTTTTTAATGTTGTATATTGAAAAAATACATTGTATAATGGTTATTTTATGATAATGTTTCCTACATTTCGACCTCGGCCTTGTTAAATTCGCATTTACAAATATTATAACAAAGAAAACCAGATTTTATACAATTTGGGGCAGCTTATAAAAAGCTTGCTCCGTCGGCGATTAAACATTCAAGAAACGATGCTTATTATTTATTCAATGAAAGGCAACGGTACAACAAAAACTCGACATTTCAACGTATTAACATTGTTTTACGTAAAAGCATTATAGTAATCATGCATATTGTGTTTATTTCTGAACGTTATTGTCATTTGTCAAATGTTAGATGTCATTTGTCATATATATCGTGACACGATCAGAAAATATTGAGGAATATATAATTGTGGTAATTTTACACAGGGAACAATAGACCGATAAGATACAAAAAAGCAATGTAGAATAATCACAATAAACACAAAAATTATTACTTTTGTGCTCGTTTTCTCTTAGTTCGCGACACTCAAAATGGTTTATAAAATTATATTAGCATGAATAATTAGTTTTGCGTGAGTGGGAACTGTACTAACTATTCTATAACAAAAACTATGCCATAATCCAGAATCGAATACATACATTAAACTGTAACAAATATTTTGTCGCAATATGAATAAAAGTATTTAATATATTCCCCGAAACTCAAAATTTATATGAAATTAAAACTTCTAAGCCAACGAGAATCTAGACCACCTTATTGATTTGAAATAAAAGTTCAGTGAACTCATAGTTGAAAAACATATTACGTTGATTAAGGTATGGTCAATCAAGTCAATACGAGTAGCTCTTATAATAATTGCTCTTAGTCGTAAAACCGTTTATATCTACAAAGTTAATTTTCTAAATCGAGTCACGTATACGAACACCTCACATGATCTTAAAAACGTTCAGAAGCAAAAGGATAAAATAAAAGCAAAATAAACCTGGTGCGAGACTTCATTGACTTCATTAAATATATTATTGAACACTGCTATAAGGAGGTTTATGAGTAAGATGTTTGCGACGAGAAGGTAGATGGTCATCGCAATTGGAGTGATCCACCGGCCAGTGACACACTTGCTATCACCGACATCCATTCCGCAAGGAGGATCAATATCGGGAGCGAATACCTCGCCATACAACATGAAGTAGGGTTGGAAGAATATCTACAAAATAAGCAATGAAAACATGCTAAATTAAACTGAAAATTAAATCAACTTAAATAAGAACTAAGAAGAGCAAAAGAAATGAGAAGGTGCCAGAGAGATGATGCATTGATTGTAATAGCCAAAACTCGGTAAATGTTGTTACGGTAATATGGCAATGTTAAATGGCTAGGACAATCAATGTTACTACAGCGAATACTAAACTACACTGCGCGTAACTAAAATCTTGCAGCAGGCAACATCGACTACAGAATAACATAACCAAAACCTGGTGCGAGACGCCATTGACTTCAATAAAAATGTTATTGAAGACGGCTATGAGCAGATTGACAAGGAGAATGTTTGCGATCAAGAGGTAAATGCTCATGACTAGAGGTGGGACCCAATGGCCCACTCGGCAATCCTCTAGGCCTGGCAGGCCGCAAGGTGGCGCCATTTGTTCGGCGAACACTTCTCCGTACAACATGAAGTATGGTTGGAAGAATACCTGCAATTGTTAGTAATATGGTCCTGTAAAGCCGTTAAGTTAGTCACACATAAGTTGCATTTCGATATTTGAATAACAAATGTCACAATCTAGTTGTCAAAAGGCTCTTATTGTCAAATATAGAGACAGGTGTTCATTACGAAGTTATACGTAAATATTGACAGCTACGAACATTTGTTATTTCAATAAGGACGTTTAAAACTTCGTTTCAGGGATTTTAAAACTAAGTACATATATTTGTTCATACACTATGTAAATTCCAAATCAGATGTAGGTTTTATTTTAAACCTAACCAATTTCATTGCATAAAATATGAACAATTTAAATATTTTAACTATCACGAATATGCAGTAGAGTTTTGCGAAAGATCGTTAAAGTTTAGTTATAATTACGAGCTCTAAAAGTCATACGAAGCACGTTTTATGACACAATAATTTCCGCTAATAGGTCGAGTAGAAAATTAAGAATGCGCGCGTGCTTTATATCTCTTGTTTAAATATAATTCCAACTGTGATTATTTAACCTATATTGTATACACATTGAAATATTCATAAGCTGCTCATTACTATAATTATCTTAATTTATATTTTTTAGATAAAAGAGTTTTCAAAGAAATAGATAGTATCTGAACAGGGTAGTTTGATTGATGGATTTATATTTATTCTTTTATACATACTAAGGTACAAATTTATATGGTATTGTGATTAACAATCTAATCTCGTGTCAAAATGTTCGTTCCCATACTTCTCCGAAACGGCTCGACAGATTCTGATGATTTTTTTATGCATATTGAGTAAGTCTGAGAATCGGATACTATCTATCCTTAAAACCCCTAAGTGATAAGGGGTGTCCAGTGTCCACCCCAAAATATATTTTTTTATTTTTTAGATATTTTTTTAGTTTTTTTATGATACAGCATACAAAAATACATAAAACTCTTAATTTTCATCTACCCTCTACGATCAACCCCTATTTTTTATTTGTTAGTTAAGAACTTATAACTTGAACTCTGAGGTTTATATAGAGAAAAATCACAGAAAAACCTAAAAAGTTTTCATTCCGGAAAACTGAACAGTCTCTGGAGTAGCATAGCAAAATGTTCCATGTTGGTATGTACTAAAATGGTAGGCTAGGCATTAAGGAGAAACGAAGTTCGCGGGGGCAGCTAGTAATATATAAATAAAAACTTAATTCATGACAGAAATATGGTTGTAACAAAATTCAACTATTGCTAGTCCCCACACTAGGAAGCCGCTGTGTTGTGGGTTACTAGGTATCAATTATTTCGTGATACATGGTGCTTGTTTAATACATTTAAAAACAAAAACTAGTTTGTAGTGTTCCAACTAATCAAAAACAAGTCTTATAAGACAATAAGTATGCTTGAATGTCGAGTATGTGAATATGTGAGCGTATGTATTGTTATATGCGCGTCTGTGTTAGTTTTTGGAATCTCAGAGTCATGCCAAAATACGTAGTAAGGCCTCTGTAGATTAGAAATCCAATACGGCTACCGATTTTGTTTTGTGAGATATTTTTCATGATAATTTTTGAGTTTTGTGAGTTTTCATCTAGATAGCTTGGCTATCTCAGAATCTATAGTTTGGGATATTTCAAATATAGCGATATGCAACGATAAAATCCATGACGATATGAAACCGCCACAGGCAGATGAGAATTTCAATTAATTGTCATAGCTTAATGGAAATATTTATTCAATGCGTCGCGATTCAGTAACCAGATATTAGTGATATTTCAATATTCAATTTTATTCAATATAACCAGATTTTGCTTTGATTTACTTGTAATGTTATTTACGCAGTAGAAAAAGATTCTTATTTTGATTTTATACAATTATTAACGATCCCATTTAGTTTAATTAGCGGGGAAAACACCTTACTGTGTCCTAAATAATGTTTTTATCGAGGCAAACTATTTTACGGTCTATCTATCCATAATTCGTTACTTACAATTTTCCTACATATTTGTGTACTTAAATATCTGTATAGTTTCGCATATTTCAAATTATTGCAGTTCTATTTAAAACTCTCTAAACATTTATTGTCAGCAAAAGATCACTATTGACGATAGGGCCGCTCTTTACACTCAACATTTTAATTTGAAGCTTGAAGTACAATAATAAAATAGCTATTAATAAATAACAATTTTAACTGTATATGTTTGAACGTCCGCGCAACACTCTACTGCAATTAAAAATATTTAAACAAAGTACTTACTTCTCTTATTAAATACCAACTGGCTTCTTTATCTGGATATAAAATAGCTTGTCTGGCCACTCCAAATGACATCAATACCACTAGTAATAGCACCACGAAGTATATCATATTCTTAACCATTTTTCCCATCATTGTGACTAGAGGACCTGTGAACAAATATGCTTATAAACAAATATAAGAGCAGTGTTGGCCTGGTGGTGCGTGCGATTCTCATCCCTGGGGTTGTAAGTTCGATCCCCGGCTGTGAACCTGCCTTTCTATGTGCATTTAACACTCCGTACGGTGACGGAAAACATGTGAGGAAACCGGCATGCCTTTAACTCAAAAAGACGACGGCGTGTGTCAGACGCAGAAGATAACCTTCCTTTATTAATTAATTAATTAATTAAATTATATTTTACGAAAAATAAATGACCACGAAACAGATACAGAAATATGAGGCCCAGACCTAAAAACTAGCGCCATTAGTGTGTATATAGAAAATTAGGTAAATGTAGAGAAATAGAATGCCTCGTTTCAAGGCAGCCGGAGGTCCTTGTTCGATTCCTGATAATAAGTACTTCCACTGGGAGGGATCAAATAACGGAAAATAATAAAACAGAGACATAAAATTTGCGTATTTAATACTTGTTCCGGTGGTGTTAAAGACATGTCCAGTTGTTTTAGTTTGTATATTGTAATGTAACATATTGATCTAGTAATGAATGTACAAAGATATATTGAGATATATAAGAAAAATAAATTTTAATAAATTTGAATACAGTGTTTAAATTTCCCAAGAGAAAACAATATAGTCAGACAATCGGATTGCACTTTTTCCATTCTGTGATTTAAAAACCGAAGAGGATTAAAGTGAAACTTGTTTCAATATCTTAAAAGCATTTTAAGATATATACATATGTATATGTAATGTTTTCAAGGGGAAGATGATTAGGTTTTTAAAGTCAGGGTGCTTTTATAGCGTGGGCGAATATTTGGCCTATAAGTTTGACAACAATTAATTATAAATAGCTTGACTTATTATTATGACATTATGTTAATGTTTTTATTATATGACATTGCAAAAAATTTATGACATTTGCATGCCTATTTATATGGCTGATTGTGCGGATATAAAAAATAAATAATGTGATTATAAAATCACATAAGGTTTGATTGTAATATATAACTACTACGTAAAATTCTAATTTTTAATTATGTAAGATAAATTTGACGCCATTATATGTGGCAGAATATGCGGAGTTTAGATTGTACAACCATAAGATTTTTATACCATATTCTTGCAAATAAATTATTATTATATGAAGCTTAGTTTATTTTTCTATAAAGTCATAATTAATCTAAATACATTTAAGTTTTTTTTGTTTAAATAATTTTTAACAAGGAAAGAACGCTTTATCGACCGACAAATTGGAAGCTTTTTTAAAAATACATTTGAGTGAAACCTTTAAAATTAGACGCATGAATTTAAACCGATTTTTAAACAACATTCGTAAATTCTAAGAGGCGTAAATGTTTCTATACAAATCGAATTTGATACCTGTTTTTTTAAACAACAATCTTCGCATCGTAGCAATTACGACTGATATTTTGAATATATAAACTGGTCATTGGTAGAATAAGAAGAATAATTTTATAAAGCGTTTACAAACAGAAATCTTTGTAATATATTTCACTTCCCGTTGTTCCTTCTTAATATTGGAGTACACTGTACATATTTTGTAATGTGTGTTAAGTCAAGTAGATCTCTAAGGCATATTGAACAGACTTCAACTTAAATAACCTAAAAATAAATTCTAGTTAATCACTTACCTAAATACTTATTAACACCCAAAATATTCAATATCCTTAAATACCAATAAATAATGTCTACACAATATATGACTCGGCCAACGTCCATAGAACTGGGGCGTAGGCGCAGCGTTAGGCCCACGAGGAAGAATATTATAAAACCAGCGTCATACGTATTCCACATGTTCCATGCCCATACACTGAACTTATGTCTAAAACAGTAAAAGTCTTCAATAAATGATGGAATATACGCAAATTCAACGACATTCGAGATGCAGTGAGTCACGTATATTTAAAAATGTTTTCGTCAAATTATTGTATCAAATCGTTTGTTACAAAGTATGATGCAAGTACGCTGCTCCTAATCGTATACGAGAATCTACGTAATTAAATTTTATAAAACTAATACTCTTATTATTAAAAATAAATTAGCAAAGCAATTTTTATTTAAGAACTAGCTGGCCTGGCGAACATCGTACCGCCTAACAGTCGATTCTTTATTTTTTTTTTAATACTTATTCTTCTATTCGGGTCACCGGTCTAGTTAGTAAGATAAAAAAAAGAAAGTTGATAAGACAACAAATACATTATGTCAAAAAATAAAAATTTACCTTCCCAGAACCCCTCCACTAAAACTTGAACTTTATGATATGGTATTAAAGTTCAAATTGACTTTTAAGTATTATTACGAATATTTTGTATGGGAATATAGAAAAGTGTTGTTTTTAGATTTTTTCTCTAAGAACCATCCTCGTACTTCAAGGAATATTATAAAAAAAGAATTGGCCAAATTGGTCCAGGCGTTGTTGAGTTATGCGATTACCAACACATTTTGCGATTCATTTTTATATTATAGATTAATTGTTATTAACTGTAGCAGGTGCTACGCCGTAGCCGTATCTCATATAGGAAATGTGTTTATTTAAAATGGTCTTCAAATATAAAATATGGCTGATGAATATTCACGTTAGATCACTGGTATAAATGATAATGCTACATTTTTTACTTTATAGTGACATATTACCTGTCGAATTGCAAAAATAATTGCATTAATTTACCTTAAAAGTATTATGACACAATTAATCTAGTAAAGCTTTTGTGTAATCCGTAATAAGTAGTATTATCTTACCTAATAGCAACAGGTTCGGACGTAATAATTTCCCTAATTTTCTCACATAAGAACGTTATAATATAACAAATAGAATAAATTTCAGGCCAAGATGGTGTGTGACTCATCTTGACTAATACTGTATATGTAAACATCAGTAGGAACAATATGTATGCGATCTGAAAAAAATATATTTGGCGAATTATTAAAGAATTTCTTAACATTCAATTGTTATACAAATTGTAATAATAGTGTAAGTACTTGAAAAAATATGAAAATACATTTAAATAACGCTTTTATATTTTTCAAAGAAATTAAATTTTTAACAAAACTTTTCTAATCAAATATTCAATACAATGTTCGGAAACACGGTATTGTAATTAATTTCAAACTCTTAAAGAACGTAATAAAATATTAATTATCTGAAAGGTTTATTAAAAATGAATGATCGGGTAAGATCGGAAGTTAATGCCACTTATATTATCATTTCCGTTCAGGTTTTGTTGATTAAATATTAATTTAAACAGTGAAACGGAAAACAAATAACATTAATGTTTCTATAATTTTAGCTTGTTCCCATGCAATTACTTTTCATTAGCAAGATATACTTTTCTACAAATATTTAGACTTATATTAAAACTAAATTTTCTATTAACTAGAATGAGTAGTTTTTTTCTAATTTTAGAAAGTACGAGTGGTCAGAATTCGACAATACGTTACGGTTTTTCAAAGATCTGAATGCAAAATTACAATTTAGAGATTCATCCGTTATAATACCAGCCTCGAAACTCGATAAAGAAGAACAATCTAGTATGAGACATATTAATAAAAGTTAAGCTTACCGAATCCGCCCAGAACTTTGTAATCGGCGCCGTAAAAAACTCATAGATTTTCTTCCTAAGTCGTAGAGGTCTCATCCTCTTGTCTTCAGGCGCGTGATATTCAGGAAGCTCTCTGTATGACAGTTCCCAGCCTATTTTACCAACTTTCCCATTTTGATCTACACGGGTCTCGCATTCGGCCCCTGAGCCAATCAACGCCTGCTTGAGTTTAGAGAAATACGTATAAACGTTACCAAGACATTCAGAGAGTCAAAATAAAATTAGCTTCGAAATTTAAATAGATAGAGCACAGTGAAAGCTGATAAAAAACGGGACATGCAATACAGTACAGTGTTCTGACAGATGATGACTGACACGCACAGAATGAACCAAGGTATATAAAAAAACTGGTATTGAGAGGTCTTCGGTCATCTGTGACATTTTTTCATCTCTTAATAGCACGTAGACATTCATATGTCAAAACACTTATGTTTAAACGATTTGACAAAAGCAATTTAAAAATTATTCGACTGTTAGAATATACAAGGCAGAATGTTTGAAGTGATAAGAAGCAAAATGCAGTTAAAAGATAAAGAGGATGGAACTAACGTCTTTTGAACTTTGGCAATTGGTGGTTTAAATACTGAATGCACAATCGTTTTGCAGTTACGGTGAAATTTAACTAATTTATTAGATTTCTTGTTGAATTTTAGAAGTTAAGTAAAACTTCGTACGAAACATAAAGATAACAAGAGTTAATCTTTTGTAATTTATTTATGAAAAACTAAGCATATTATATATGACTGTTATGTAATAACATTTGATTTTATCTTATGTCAACAAGTTCAAACAATTGACTTTAATGTGTGTTAGTGTAAATTATATGAAATAACAATTTCTCTGTTTAGCGAAGTAAATCGTGACAAATTATTATAATATTCCCGTTTGTTTAAGGCCTGAGCAAATTCAACAATGTAAAACTTTATATAATGAATTCTCCCTCTGTTTAATGGCGCTGTAAAACACTGAGGTTTCGGAAGATTTATGCTTACATTGGTTATTAAAACTGCCTTTGGTTATTAAATTATTTTATATATTTCTATTGTGAACGAGTTCATTTTGAGAATTTATTTTTCTTCTTTTTCAGTTCTAGGTGATTAATTGAAACATAATCAGAGACAAACGTAGCAGTCGTAGCTGCGAAGTAATGTTTTGACTGCGCAATTTGAATGCTACGCAGCGCTACGTAATTCACTTGTTAAACTGGTCTGACCTACTCTCGTAGACATGAGTTAATAATGGAGTAAATCCTTCGAGGTGTTTATTTATTTAAACCCAAAAAGTTTTTAGGGGAAATAGTATTTATTCTACGATATTCTGTGTGCGTAACTTAATATTATATACAACGAAGTTACGTAATATTTTAGTTCTGCTACTGAACGGCTAGTACTAAAAGCTTATATAAAATTAAACTATTACGTTCCATTTGACGTCACTTTTTTTTAATTTAGTAAAAGGTACTTCATAAATAGTTTGATTTGGGTTTCTGTTCTAAATAAAAACAACGTGTTGTGCTCCCTTGAATAATATATTATTCAGAAGGGCATTTTTTATTCAACAATTACCCGGGGACCTTACGAAGCTCGCGTTTATAGTTCAATTTTCCTTGTATATAAACTTGAAATAAAACTGGAAAATAGATCCAATATAAACATAAAACTCGTGGGAGGAGGAAGCTTATAAAATAGCCGTAAAGTTCAAATAGCTCACATCACAGAGACAAAGAGTGCTTGAATATCGAGTGCTTTGTGTTATTTAAATATCTTATTAAAAGGTTTCTAAGTTACAAGAAAAGTACGAAACTGAATAGGTAACTTATTTAAACAGTAGAAAGATATAATCTTCATAGCCATAAGGCTATTTGGTTCTAATGATTTATGTGTATGAATAAAAATGAAACAAATGTAACACACATTTGTTTGTATATTTCTTTAAGGCAGAAGTTGCCGTGTTATTTACTAGTAGACTTTAGACCATTGAATAAATTTCAATAATAAAGACAAACTAAGCCATTAAATATATATTATATATAAATATATTATATCTTGTTTTTATTCGGATTTTTAGTTAATTAGAATATTATTGAACCTTTACCCAGTTATACGGTGAAGTAAGTATGTACACGAACTTTACTATAACTCAAACGTCAATTTGAAAGTTCAGTTTTTGACAGCTTGAACGCTTTTAGTTGTTAACGTTTAGTTCTTACGAATTATTCTTGTTCAAAGTTACATTTATTTCCAAATACGCTCACGGGGCGCTATCTCTTTCCAAACAAAAAACAATTGTTGCTATTACCATTGCTATCAAGTTTACATATTGAGCTAAGTCTAAAGTGTTAAGTTTCGAAGTATACGTGTAACCAAAGAAGCTTGCAGCTTAAGTAAGTTTAAAATGTAAATAAATTCAAAACTTATGTAGTGTAGTAATATATACGATATTGTGTACTAAAAAGCGTAGATATTCCTACAGAAAGTGTGTGTTTGTACGAAAAGTCAATATTAAACACCTGCGTCTTCTCCGTTTTACCCAACTGTCCCGGAGGTATTATCTTCTTTATTGACAGCGTTCGCCGTTTAATCCCGACCTACACAGTTTATAGTCCGAACAATGAATTAAGTTTTTATTAACGTCTATCTGATTTTATATTAAACTATTCATCAGGTCAGATAACAATATTTCAATGTCATATCAATTTAACCTTTAAAACACCGAATGTTTTAAATATAACGTTTTTACTTTAAACCTTCAACGAATTTAATATTCATATTGAGAAAAATATCAGTCTTATTACACAGTGGGAAGCACTGAAAAATTGTGTTTACGCTGTGAAGCTGAGAAATAAGACTTTTTTTTTTAAAGAAAACACTTTTTTACCGGATTGAAGTTATGTATTATTATAAATTTACAATTATTTTACATACTTTTAAATTTAACCGACGTTTCTGCCAAAACCCACCATCTTTTAGTCGATTCCAACTCAGGGGAAATAAATACAGATAATACAACTTTTTCTACAGCTGTGATACTTTTTGACATTCAACACCTTTTGTCTTCAGTCATCGTGACCACGCACGCTGTAAATCACGCGAAAAATAATTGTAAATTTATAATAATACATAACTTCAATCCGGTAAAAAAGTGTTTTCTTTAAATGTGTAAAGGTTGTGTCAATAAAAGACAATACTAAGACTTTTTTTTTAATTTCAGTAATATGGCCAATATGATAATTAGAAATATATCATAATTAGCTATTTCAGATTATATAAACATATCCACCAATTCCTTAAATACGAAGTGGGTTTGAATTTATGATTGTAGAATAATGATGTTTAATGTATATAATATATTATCATAAAATAATAATATATATTTTCTATTTATACGTCGCCTAGAAGCCTATTTATTACCATGATATTGCAACCTCTACATTCATATATAAACAATCACAAATCCATTGGGAAGGCAGCGACAAAAGCGTAATGGTAAGCAACAGAACAGTAATTACCTCAGCGTCATTGGGGTCCTTTGTGCTTCTATCATCCTCTATACTCTCGTTTTCCAAATGCTCCTCCTCAGTCTGCGGCATCAGCTGCAGCTCTTCCTTCGACTTGAACTCCAGTTGGAGTATGTAGAGTGGACACAGCAGGCACAGTATTACCTTTTTACAAAGCCGATGTGGCAAACTAAACGCTGCTACTGTCACTTAAGCTTTACATGCTACGTTAACTAGGGACGCCAATAACCTTTGTGTTTAAAAAAAACTATAGCCCTATTGGATTTTAAACCTATCTTTGATAACAAATAACGTAATTAAAACCTGAATTGTTTACTGGGAGTTTCTAATACTTGTTACGGGTTTTATAATCATATTATGAACAGGCAATGACGTTATAGTCAGTCAAGTTTTTATACATTAACTTATGAAGTCATCAAAAAAAGAAAGTAATAGTTCATCGACAAATTTTTAAACACAAAGGTTTTAAAATTAAAACCGTAATCAGCGTCTGCATGCAAACCGTATAGTCCTACAACGAAGTGACACTTAATGAAATGTCATATTTGATTATCTGTTTATCTGTCATCTGTCAAACTTCGTCGTAAAACTATATGACACACAGACATCAATATCGTTACGGCGGCGTTATAACCTATGTTACAACTACGACGTGCCAAGTTGTGCGTTAATAGGAAATATAAAGAGAATATAAATGTGTTAAAGTTACCTTTAGGTTGGTGTTCTTGCGGGTTCGAAGGCCCCCCATCCACAGATCAGCTAGGATTATTTGAGAACAGGGATGAGCCAGAAGAGCTCTGTGATTAGCGGCTACAGCAAGACTTAGACAAGTCTGACCTGACCAATTCTGGAGTTCACATGTAAGAAGTTGCTGTGCTTGGTCATCGTCTTGTCGATAACAGTAATCTAACAATTCCAGTGCTGTAATAAAACAATTTCGTAAATAGTATAATCGTCTTACACAGAATAACCTCACCTGGACATGATTTATGTAGGAGACATAGAAACATGAATGCCTCAATTATTTTTACAACTAATTAATCTTATCCCTGATAAATTAGAAACAATATTATGGAACCGGCAAGGTTTACGTTTGTGCATTCCATAATCACCTGAATCAACTAACAAGATGGCCGCCATTAAGAAATTATAATTATTGTTACCAAATTATGGTTTGAATAATGTATGTAATATATAACACATTATGTTCGAGTAAAGGGTACTTTATATATTTGTTTTTACTTATTACATGAACATAAGTGGCTTGAAATATTAAGAAAAACATCGCGAGGATAGTGGCATGTCTTATGTTCGTTAATAAGCATCAAGAATAATTATGGTTAAGTTCAAAAACATCTTTGTAATTAAACGCGTACAAAATTTAATTAACACTGAGTTCATATGGAAATTAATTTCATAGAACATTTTGGTAACACAAAGTTTACGGTAGTTGCCGTTGGTGGCGCTAGTGAGCACGTTTTGAGGTCAATTGTAGTGTTGCTCGTTAGGACCGCAATTACTGTTGTGCAACCGATATTTTAACATAACGTTCTCAATTAAATTTTATTGTTGTTTTATTTTTGCAACGTTTTTAATAAAAACGTCATTTGAATGCAAGAAACTATTTTACTTCCAAGACTACACATGAAACGTGGACGCCTTAGCAAAGGAGGCAGCGGTAACATTAGGGGACGAAAATGGAATACGTAAAGATCTTCTCACATCAGGAAATAAGTTAGACAGACAACAATATCGTAGTGGGACAAACGGTTCAAAGCTCATACCGCTAAAATCACAAAAATCTTTATAAGTAATTTTACAGACGGCTACAAAATTATTCGATAAAAAGACCTAGCTCATAAATGATGCAGATCTTAACAGTGACAGTGATGTATCTCATTAAAGAATGTCCTGTAATTGGAGACTCCAGGTGCGATCTGGAGCAACAAATCGATGTAAAGGTATACCGAGCATTTACCCGAAATATTAAGAAGCTTCAGATCGCAATAAGAGCGTAGCGGATGCGAGACGACGGGCCCCCACTTATATGAATATATATCTATATAATGTATATACATATTAGGAAATTTCTTAACATATATAATGGTACAAAATATGTGTATAAAATAAGGTCCCGCACCACAAGAGTCTGGGATATTGGGAAATTTAACTTTAATTAAACAAAAAAAAAACACATGAATCGTGAAAATATAGAGTATGGCCTCCTGGCCTCATTTAATGACTTAGTGCGTTCTGTGTTCAGCCTCGGAAAAACAGTTCTCGAGTTTCTAGGTAATAGTTGCATAGGTGTGTCCGCCTGTTTGTGGGGATTATGGGACTTCCAAGAAGTCAAAATTTCATAGTCTGTCAGTACCAGAAGAAAACCTTCAATACTCTAAAACTAAAGAAAATGACTTTCTATTTATAGTTTGTATGCTTCAATAATCACGACATATTTCATTTCAAACGATTTAATTAACATGTATAAGATATAGCCTTAGAAGTAAGTTTCAAATGTCAATCAATTGAACTCAAACAGAAATAAGTAATTAAAAGTTTTCTTATCTCAGATCTTTGGTGTATCTTATGCTATCTACCATATTATATATCTGTATACAAAAGATATAGACTACGTGACAGTCATGAAATATTAATTTTGGTTAGATACAATGACGCGATTTTGATTTTACACGAATTTTTTTTTATGTAATGGGAGGCAAACGGGCAGGAGGCTCATCTGATGTTAAGTGATACTGCCGCCCATGGACTCTCACATTGCCAGAAGGCTCACAAGCGTGTTGCCAGCCTCAGGAATTGGTACGCTCTTTCCCTAAGTCAAATTTATTCTGAAATACTTCAGTGGACAGCTGGTTCCACATAGCGGAAATTCGCAGCAAAAATTGCCTTAAAAACGCTCAGTTTTAGAATGACGGACGTCAAGGTGATACGGATGGTATTTTGTCCGATAATGAAACTCAGTTGCAGGTATTAGACGCAACATAATAATTAGGCTGAAACAAGAACATAATTACCCTAGTAATTTTGTTATAAGACCTGTTTTCTATGTCTACCAACCTTTGGTCTCAAACTCCTTTCCGTAATGGCGAAGCTCCTCATACACTTCCGTCTCCATATCGTCTTCAGCAGCCTCATGAGCCATGGCCTTGTAAAGCTTACATGCTACCAGAGACTTGGCAAGAGCTTCCTCCCCGTGCGTCCACATTAGTAACGCCATCTGGTGCCGCTTAGTCAATACCGCCCACATCTAAAGAAGTTTTATCATTTTCTTAAATAGGAAAAATCTAAACAAATCATATAATACCCTGATCAGAAAATGTGATTAGTTTTTATAGGATCTGATGACAGATGCTTGTATTCTTTTTAAAACTCTGTGTAATGTTGGCAAAATTTCTTAAGCAATCATAATACCTACACCCTGATGATACTAGACACTGGGTAGTAAATCACAGCTTCAAATTATTGTCAATGTGAATATTAAAATATAAAAGTTTATTAGTAATAATAACAATAAAATATACCGTATTTACAATTTTCTTAACCGACATAGTAATAATAAAAATAAGAAAAATTAATAAAAAGAAAACAAATTTGAAAAGTTTGGTCCCTGTGACAATGTACCTTTAACGCTGGAAGCATTTCCTCGCTGTAATGCAATTCTTATTCGTTGAGCAAGGAAAGCACCAGCTCTGAGGTCACCGGTACTATCTACCAGGTGTCAACTTAAATCTTTAATTAACCCCACGGCCCAAGAGTCTTTCCAAAGGAAACAAAATCGAATTTGGAGGAAAGACTCTTATATTTGAGCCGTTTATTATTTCCGCCTGCGCTGCGGCCCCAGCTTTTTTGCTTGTCCGAGGGAGGTGAGACGGGGCAAACGTGTCTTGTCTACACATGTAGCATCCCAAATATGAAAAATGTAAAATACCTATTTAATATATTTTTTTTTATATTTAAAACCAACCTAAACCGTAAAGTGAAGGGTTTATAAATTAATTCATAATTAATCTGCGTGTGTTCGGTGTGCGCACATACATTTTATAGAAATAAACTTCTATAGACCTTTACAAAAAGTGCGCATCCATTTTATGATACATCTACATTCTCTATTCGATTTAGTAAAAAATTTCTACCCGAAAACTAGCTTAAAGATTTATCGTTTGAAATCGTGATATACCGACACATCAATCCAACTTTTATTTGATTTGGAGCAGGCAATCGCTTCCTTTGATGTACGAGCCATACTATAATACTCTATTCATTCTATTAAATGTTGAAATTCACGTAAAAGGTGCTTTTAACCGAGAATATTTCACAGTAAAGGAACTTGGTGTGAATAAATTTATTGTACCTATTATTCCTAGTATTAATGATACTGATTGAACGAATGGTTTTATTGCAGTAAAAGGTTGCTACTGCCATGATAAAAAAAATTGTTTTTGAAATAAAAGTAACAAATAATTTGATTAGTAGGCAATATTCTTATATATTTACTAACAGACCCGACAAACGTTGTTTTGTTATGTATAATATTTCTAAGAAACATTATTTTAGTTCAATAAAAATAACTATCTGCTATAATAAAAAATTGGGGTTGATCGTAGAGAGGTGATAATTAAGGGTTGTATGTATTTTTGTATGCTGTATCATAAAAATTGTCTAAAAATAAAAATTTCACACCCTTCAGGGTTTGAAAGATAGATAGTAGCCGATTCACAGACTTACTGAATATGAAAAATTTCATAAGAATCGGTCGAGCCGTTTCGGAGGAGTGAGTGAGAGGAGAACGAGAATTTTATATATTAGATTAAAATAATTTTATCATCGCTCACAACGTCTTACCAAAAGTTCGTTGAAAGGATAATCGAATAGCGCCATCTCTGTGGTGACAGGCATGAAGCCGGTGATGAGCGAGAGGCCACCAGCGTTGTGACGAGTGAAGGAAGCACTATTCCGGTGAACATTCACACTCTTGTTCATCACCTTCGCGTAAATGGGACGAAACTTGCGCCGTGTGTAGTAGCACCTAAAACAGTAAAAAACAAGTAACTTTTTTATAAATCCACAATTTTGGTTAGGTTTCTCGACATAACATAATACTCGTACACATCCATATTAATTTCATTAAAGGCCGGTAACGCACTTTCTTAAAAGGCCGACAAAGCACTTGCAACCCTTCCGGCAATGTGATTATCATAAAAATTATATTGGTTATTAAATCCAGTTGTATTAAAATGGATTACTATATTTATATATACCTATCTATAACTGATTCTAAAATTAAACAGAGGTATAGCAATATATAAAAATTACCATTGTATTAAATAAATATATGGCTTTTATCAACATAGCATTCGGAAAAGGAAGCTATCTATCAACGCCAGGGGCTCATGAAAATTCCGTCACAAAAAATAACACTGGGCTCATTCAATTTACTGTAATGCTTGCTGACTACAACAGATTTCAATGAAAATCGATCTCTGTTTCGGATAGGGCAACTTTTATTGTTACAAAAGTGTATAAAATAAATATAAAATACTTTGCTCAAATTTGAATTTTACTTGAGTCAATAGTTTTTTTACTACCGAGTAGCTTGTTCATTAAATTAATATTTTGCAGATTTTTTGTTTCACGACGTTGTGGTATTTTTGATAGACAAATTTACGTATGACAAGGTATGGTCTACAGATTTTTACCACCGAATTGCCATTAATTATAAATTGCTGTTTCTACCAAACCTGTTTATAAGTAATACAGGATACTACTTCTCGATTCTGTAGCAATTTTTTTTAAAAGTTCATTTTCTGATATAAATTGCAACTATACTATGGAACTAACTATAAAATGGAAGCAAAAGAGGCTCTCCAGCTCTCAGTCAACCGCAACGTTAGGGTGGCCAGGTGTTAACAAAATAAGGTAGCGGCTCGTATAGCATAGGAACAGAAAAAATATTGGATCAGATATAAAAAAATATACAGTTTTGTAATTTTAGTCGACTCATTAAAAGACAATATTTGGTGTTAGAAAATTAAAAAAACAGTGGGATTTTAGATTATAACACTAAAATTGTTGTTATTATTATGCCTTGTTTGAATGTTGGAGTTCAATTTTTTTTAAATGTAATTTAAAGAAATTAGTAATTAATTTTATTTTTAATTATTATTCTTATAAATATTATAATGGTGGGTGGGAAAATTGTTCCAATGTCACATATATTTTTGTATTAATTTAAAAAAATTAATAATAATATAAATTATATTTAGAAAAATAGAAACCGAAAGAAAAATAGAAAAAGATGGTTCACATCTTAGTAAAAGAAACCTGTTTGGTATTACTTTTTAAACACGTTTGATTATTATCATATACAAGAATGAATACATATATTTGTGCAAACCGGAAACGCTAATAGAAATATATATTTAATCTCTCACCTGTAAGCTCCTCCCATGAGTTTGTTGATGACTAGTCCAATATCATGAAGAGTGTACACATATCCTCTGGGCAAATGGGGTCTCACATCCCTCAGAATATACTGCAGAGTATTACTGGGCCCACTTTTAGTGTTATAAAGCTCTTCTAAACGTGGAATTGTCAGGAATTTCCTCATCGACACTCCATTCTCCAGAAGCAACTTCACGAAATCTAACCTGTCGTGTTCAAGCGCCTGCATCATGGCTTCGTCAAGTGCACCTAAAATTATATGACTAATTAAAAAGATTCTTTGAATAATATCAAGTTTACATGAGAATTAAAAATTATTTATGGCCCAGCACTTTACGAGATCCGACTAAAGAGTCCCGGGAGACCTGAGTCATTCCCACTGCCTGCAACTCCTTCTCACCGATAACGTTGTGTCTGGCCTACAAGTCGTACGTCATAGTATATAGTCGGCTACATACTAGATATAGAGCAGTGTTGGCCTAGTGGCTTCAGCGTGCGACTCTCATACCTGAGGTCGTAGGTTCGATCCCCGGCTGTGGACCAATGAACTTTCTTTCTATGTGCGCAATTAAAATTTGCTCGAACGGTGAAGGAAATCGTGAGGAATCCGACATGTCTTAGACCCAAAAAGTCGACGGCGTGTGTCAGGCACTGGAGGCTGATCACCTACTTGTCTATTAGATTTAGAAATGATCATGAAACAGATTCAGATATCTGACGCCAAGTCCTAAAGAGGTTTTAGCGCCGCGGATTTATTTATTTGACTAGATATATCATAAATGAGTATTTTTATGAAACGATGGTCAAACGTTTTGCGTGAACAAAATATCGTTGTTTTGGTCGGCTTGTCACGTTTCAATAAATATGTAGAACAAAATAGCAGGATAGTTTAATTTACAATTTGTAGAAGCTTGTTCATAGAATTGCAATAACAGAAATAATAACGTGATTCTAAATAACTATGTTGGAAAAAATAATAACCTACACAAAAGAACATGATTCTAAGGACGTAAAAACCTAAAAGCGTGACTACTTCCGCCGTAGACGAATTTGTTTTACCATTGTTTTACCTTAATTACTAAAATTTTGCTAATTTAAGCAAAAATTTACTGACAAGTACATGGCAATTTAAGTGCGCAATTAGGAAAATAAGAACTCAGCGTTATATTTCTATAAAACCTTACGCTTACGTTACATCATACAAATGTCTAAGATATATTTATATAGATTTCGTTGCAAGAAACACAGTACAATTAAAATAGTTAAATAAAATGGGGGCAACTGGCAGTTCCATTCAAAGTTCAAACACTGTGGGATAAAAAAATCAAGGTGAGCAGAAGGAAGTGCAGTACTACATATGATATACAGTTACTTAGATGAATATATATAAATAATGAAACAAAACAAAGCAATTAAAACATATGTACGAACTACAAATATATGCAAACTGATATGAACTATAATTTACATAGGTTCGACACTATCATTAAATTTCGTTTCTTACTATTTAAATACTAAATGGAGGAGTCAAACACCCTTAGATAAATTTATAAATTACAAAATTCATTAAGTTCTGTTTCCAAGTTTTATAGGAGTCAGACAAAAGCAATTCGTTAATATTCTGATAAGCTTTTATATTTTACACCTTTTGTCTCCATTCAAACCACCTGAGGTTTATTGCTCTTCATTATATTAACTCAATATGAGTCTGGAGACTGGTTGTTGTCTTGAAAGTTGATAAATAGTTCAACCAGACAGATAATGAACTTGTGACACCTGATATCGCTTTTGGAAGGAATTTATATTTTGAAATTTCTCTCCTTTTTTTTAAGTATTCTTTCTAAACATTTCGTAAGCCAATGCTACGAACGGTAGCAAGGGCCTACGAAATTGTAGCTCGTGAATTAACGCATTCTAATAACAGACTATTACCAAACTAGAAGTTTTTAAACAATTTAAAAAATAAATATAGCAATTTTAAGGTAGCACTCTTATGATAAATCACAATAATATTATTTTTCTTATAAAATTATTGTATTGATAACGGACTAAGATTACACTACTTCAACCAAAAGACTATTTGTGAAATCTCTTGGGCTTTTATTAATAAATTCCTGATCCATTAAATAGCCATACAAAATGTAAAAAGTAAAACAAAACATGATTCTTTATTTGCCAGTATATAAAACGTTTAGCAAAGTCGCACAACGAAGCGTTAATGTAGTCATTTTCAAAATATAAATAACCTATTTTTGGCTGAGAAAACGATAAAATAAGCACTAATTATAATTTTATTATTAATTTGGAGCATTTATGCATCATAACCGTGTATAAAATAAGTAAAAATGTGTGTACATGGGGTTAAAATCCTAATAAAATAAGAATAATACAATTTACTTGATAGCGTTTGTTTTTATATAACATGTGCTGGAGGCTCATCTGATGTTAAATGATGCCACCACACATAGACAATCACATTTCCAGAGGGATCGCAAGTGCGTTGCCAGCCATTAATAAGAAAAATAAATTAGACGTTGAGGTGAAAGGGGTGGAATTTCTTATTCTGCCTCAGACGTCAGATGATGAAACTCAGCTGCAGGTATTAGACCGAACATAATAATCAGGCAGAAACAGGAACAAATTTAAAATTAAAATAATAATATTTTCCAGTATAGTGTGCTCACAATAAGCACTACGTATTGAATAATGAATAAAAAATGTTTTTCAAATGTATTCCATTATATTGACCGAATAAATCTCTAGCGAAGTTTTATTAAAAATTACCCGAAAGCGGTCGTTGAACCATAAAAATCTACCCTTTGAAGGTTATTTCAGTCATGGAATATTGAAAACAGAATAATATACAAAGGATTTTACAAAGCGCCATTTCAAGTACTTGTTTATTCAAATTGATCGTGGCTACTATTTGAAAAGCTTTCATTTACTCAAAATGGGACGACTGAGGCAATTTAATTTGGCAATTCTTGAACTTTTAATTAGGTTCTAAATAATATAGATAAAGAGACTCTTGGGCTGTGAGGTTCAAGTGCACAGGCGCTAATTAAAGATTTAAGTTAGGCGCCTGATAGATAGTACCGGTGACCCCAGAGCTAGTGGCTAGTAACAAGTATCGCAATACAGTGAGGAAATGCTGCCAGCGTTAAAGGTACACTGCCACAAGGACCAAACTTTTTAAATTTGTTTTAATAATTTTAATTATTTCTTAACGCCACTGGTTTTTTTTTTGTTTTAAATATATCAAGTACCAATACACGTTTTGTAGAACTATGCCTTTTGATAAGATTTGTGATAGTTTTTCTTTGTAGGCAAGTATAGAGTTTTTTTTGGTTATAATGACTAAATACATACGTAAATATTGCGAAATCTATTAATTATTGCGGTATTTTGTAAAATAGCCAACTTTATTAAAATCTAAATATTTAATAATCGTACTACAAATATTGGCAAATGCCCGGAGCTATAGACTAATTGGCTAAGAGTGTAGATCTTTCTTGAACTCCTCTTTTATATAATATTAGAGAGCCTTGTAATAAATGTAATATACAATTGTTTTATATGTATCTATAGTTGATAATATACTGCTCAAAACAATTAGCGGAACAAGATTTTTCTCCTTTCTATTGCTTAAACTAAAATTAGATTTAAATTAACTTGTACGCTATTTTTTACCTTGTTAATTTGTTAATTACTACAATTAATAAAAAAATTCAATTTGTATTTTTTTTATTAAAAAAAATTAAAATGTGCATTGTAGACGAAAAACAAATTGACGTCTTTGAATTTTCATTACTTTCTTATCACAGAAAACACATTTTAAGTAGTTTTTTTCAATCTTTTGAGTATTAATAGAAATTGAAGTGAGCCTTTTGAGTATTGTTATTCATTGAAGCGAGTGAGTTTAGGTCATAATGCCAGATCTGACTGAATTGCATGTCTCCCGAGCTATCGCTTTGCTTGAAGAGGGTCGAACTATGCGTTATGTAGGAAATGATCTAGGAGTAGCCCCTTCTGTTATCTACAGACTTTGGAAGCGATACCGTGAGACGGGAGAATACTCACGAAGGCGTGGTCAAGGTCGAAAGAGAAAAACTACACGTTTGCAAGATCGCTACATCGTCAACTGTGCTTTACGTAACCGCACCACAACTGCAAGAGATCTACAAAATACACTAAGGACGGCTACTGGTGTAGAAATTTCCGACCAGACGGTAAGAAATAGGTTGGAAGCCAATTTGAGATCACGCCGACCAGTTCGGGCTGTGCGTCTAACAATTCAACATAGACAAGCTCGCCGACAGTTCGCGCAAAATCACGCTAATTGGCAACTTCGACATTGGAGACCAGTGCTTTTTACTGACGAATCACGATTCCGTCTAACACGTTGCGATGGTCGTCTCCGTGTTTACAGACGCCCAGGCGAGCGATACAGTGCAGCAGCAGTCCAGGAATATGACAAATTTGGATGTGGCCCTGTGATGGTTTGGGGCGGAGTTAGTTTGGACGAGCGCACAGATCTCGTCGTTGTTCCCGGGCGCTTGTGTGCTCAAACTTACATTGAAAATGTGCTCGAAGATCATGTTTGGCCCGCAGCATATGGTATGGGCCCAGATTTTCTTTTAATGCAAGATAATGCCAGGCCGCATACTGCAGCCATCACGTCAGATTACTTACGACAGCAGGAAATCCGTGTAATGGAGTGGCCTTCCATGAGCCCTGACCTAAATCCAATTGAACACATTTGGGACTTGCTTGACAGGCGCATCCGGAAGCGTCCGATTGCACCTCAAACACTGCAGCAGCTCACTGAAGCGTTGATTGAAGAATGGGAGCGAATTCCACAAGAAGATATTCGGAGGATCATACGAAGCATGCCGCGTCGTTGTCAAGCCGTGATTAGGGCTCATGGAGGCCACACACGTTACTGAAAGTCACTAAAGACGAATATTCAAACGATATAAGAATATTTCTTTGATGGACCTTTTTTATCACCAATCAGTTTTTCGTCTACAATGCACATTTTAATTTTTTTTTAATAAAAAAAATACAAATTGAATTTTTTTATTAACTGTAGTAATTAACAAATTAACAAGGTAAAAAATAGCGTACAAGTTAATTTAAATCTAATTTTAGTTTAAGCAATAGAAAGAAAAATCTTGTTCCGCTAATTGTTTTGAGCAGTATATGGAAAAAATCACAACTGAATTGAACTCGAGTTTAAAATAAAGAAACCCACCTCGAGGCCATTCCTGTCCGTACACGAAGATCTCGGATCTTGCAATATCCACTCGATTCCAAGTAAGAGCAAGAGACAGCTGCTCACTTGGCGACAGGTGTTGAGCTCTGAACAATGCCGTCAATATCACCTGATCTAGCTCCTGGACTTCGCCACCTTCTGCGCGTTCTTGGATACGGAAGACCGTGATCTGAAAACAAAATGTTATTAAAATGAATTCGGAATGCTGCAGCTGTTGTAGTACTTTCTCTTCTTTTCTGTATATTTCTTCATTTGTCACTAAGACGTGTACCTATTATCATAACATTGTGCTCCGTAAACTCAAAATGATATAAAAATTATTGACCCTAAAGGTTCTATTTTAGTATGGGATATTAACTCAATTGTAATGCGTATTGTTTACAAATCCTATATTAATGAATGATTCTATATATATTTTACGTCATGAGTAAGTTAAATTAAAAAGAATTTGTTAATAAAACAATCAATTAATAATGGTTTATCGGATTAAACAATACATCGATCCTGACGCAACTTCGCATACGGACTCGTCTGTCTACTATATGCCGACAGCGCAGACAATGATGAGAACTTGGAGAAACTGATCGTGGTTGGTAACAAAGAAGGCAAAAGATCACCAACCAGGTGGACCGATCAAGTGAAAGACTCATCGTTCTCAAAACTGTACACTGTCATAAGAGAGGCGTTCGACAGAAACCGGTGGAAACAGATAGTCCGCTCCAGAGGCTTTCTTGCTGAACACGACGCTCAGACATGAGCTGCCGATTAAAGAGTGTGAGAAACGGATTAAAATAAAAAACTAAATCACCTAAAAACACGACACTTGAAAAGTCAGGATTAAGCGTTTAATTGAATTAGCAAAATGCTTTTATAGAGGCATTGAATTTTATAGAGAATTTCTTTAAAGTTCTGCAATCACCAGAGCAGCGCAATATTTTTAATTCGATTTATGAAGGCGTCGTTCTACAGGGAGAATTTATAAAGACGCAATTTTTTCATTTCAACTGTGTTATAGAAATAAGTAGTTTTCAAATTTATTTATTTAAAAAACTTCCTTACTAGGTACCTTATATTATTTAATGGAGAACGAATCTTTTACCGTTTTCACCAATACTGTTATTTATAATATGGTTTTATGTAAATTAATTAATATAATAATGACAATAGAAAAGGTCACAAATAAACTGGCCAAACACGAAATCCACGCGGGCTGGTAGCTAGTTAACGAATATAAACTGGAAATTATTACCACTTTTTAAATGTAAAATGATCAACAGAGGATCTAAACCTAAAACCAGAATTAAAGTGCAGAAATTAATTAATGTACGAACCAGGAACCGCACTAGTTTTTTATTCCTAGTTTTCGAATAGTTCCCGAAAGCGTTCAATACGAGAACATTGTTTACAACCGCAATGATTACTGAATCGAGATTGTGTTCCGTTCAGTAATTGCTTTATGTAGCACGCACAAAATATAGAGCATGTGTAGTTGATAAAATTCAAAATTAAAACCTTTATTGATTTAGATTTAATGTTTATAAACCCGATAAATTTTGAAAAACATACAAATCCAAATTTCTGACCTAAAATCTCTTATGTTCAAAAGTCGTTAAACACCACGCCTCTGATGAGTACGATAAAGTTTCTGTGCCTGTCAGGCTACCACATATCTTTCAATATTGGTTCCAAGTTCTATATTTAGTTATTGTACCACGAAGTTTTTGAAACTCTGCACATTTTGAGAGGACTAGATCGAAATTAGGCGTTGGCGATATATTATGTCATTAGGGTTCTTTCTAAGGTACATGTCGGGTGTGTTCGTCGCAGGAAGATCTTGAGGTGCATGCTTCATTCCCTTGGTTCAACCTAACGTGGTTCAAAGCCTCGGTTAACCCCTGTGACAGGAATGTTCAACGAACGGACGGCCCCTAATGGAACTGTCAATTATCGTAAAAACGTATGAAAGAGGGTTGCTAGGATTATTTAATGGAAAAAGATGACCTGTTTTCGATTCTCCTAATTTAACTTGGATTGCAACGTTGGCGAAAACGACGTCAATTTAAATTGAACTCTATTTGAAGGAGTTAACGTCCATATTAGCTCAACAAAGTTTGCAATCAGCATAATACAGGTGCACGAAAATGTATGCCTTATGAGCTTTGTAATAAAAATTAAATTCAGTCGTATCTTTAGAAGTTCTAGTGCTATCGCTGTTGTGAGATTCAAATAGATTTATCTATGTACTTCAATGCAATCTGGATCATACAATAAACCCTTTGTACACATATGTTTTAGTCTCTGCAGGAGAGAACATGTCTTTACTTATTTATCCTTAATAGGTATGGTATCTCAGAACCTTACATATTTTCCAAAAGTAAAATATACACTAAGAAGTATCTGTACCTTGGGCTGACGGCTGATGTATAATGTTGAATATCTTGAATTTAATTAATTTTAGAACTTTAGGTAAACTTGTTTGCGCCTACAGACTGTGGACTCACTGGGTTAGGCCTACCTCTATGAATTATGGGAATAATCAAGTAGAAAATAAGTTACCAGATTCTTCTTTCTCGTACACTGTAGAAGTTCGGTGTACAAGCACTCCGCTTGCTGCAATCCCACTTCGAACGTCTTCTGTATGGTGCTTATGAGGTAATCACGCATCGACTCCAGGACAGTCTGTTCCCCCGTTTCTGATGCGTACCTAAAACAAAATCAATAATTGGCACGATACAATAGTTAGTTTACGGGCAAATCTTGTACCCAGAGTGTCGCTTTGACACTTGCCGTATCTTTTGTTTTTAGCAATGTTAAAGATACTAAACAGCTTAAAAGTAACGCAGGTGTGTTTGCTACGCTGATAAAAACTGCTGAAAACTATAATTTTACATAATTACTACAGTTATACGCCCATTCACTTTCCGTGCTGCTTGATCCCATCGCGTTGCGTAGAGATGTGGGTTCTCCCTGCATCTTCTACCACATTTACCATGGAGAGTGTTCAGAGGAGTTGTTCGGACCTGCAGCTGAGTTTGATCATCGGACGTCAAGGCAGAATACAAAATACCATCCGTATCACCTCGATGTCCGTCGTTCCACAACCGAGCGTTCATAAGGCAGCTTTTGCCCCGCACCACCACTATGTGGAACCCACTGAAGTATTTCCGAACCAATGCGACTTCGTGTCCTTCAAGAAAAGAGCTTCAATTCTTAAAAGGCTTGCAACGCACTTGCGAGCCTTCTGGCAATGAGTGTCTGTGGGCGGCGGTATCACATAACATCAAGTGAGTCTCCTGCCCGTTAGCCAGCTGTTATTACAAAATACATTGCGGTGATTATTAAAAGGATGAGCGTTTCGCTTGGTATTTTCAACATATATTAACAAACCTTAATTTTTAGAATCGTGTAATTTGACGACACTTTATTGTATACGTCATAATAAAATCAGTAGCTATGCTAGCTTATAAGCGATCTGTTTCAGGCAAATCTAAATAATAAACATTTTAAAGTAGCACACACCTTCCATTTCTAGACATAATATCATTAAATACTCCACGAAACTGGAGTAAAAATATGATGCGGTTTTTAAAAATTTTAACAAAAATGCAAACTTATTACGCCAGTCATATTCGCGTTCCAGTTTAAAATGTTGCAGTATATTCTTTGTTCCATATTAACATAGTAAAGGAAGATAAAAGAGTTTTAAAACATGAGTTCCGTCTTACATATACTATGATAATTAAATAAAATATAAATATATTTAACGCTGGTCTCTTACTAAGGTGTTGTACAGTTTTTTATCTTTAAATCTATGTATAGTAATCCCGCTATATAATCCCAGTAGACCTGGATTGCGTTATAGGAAATCGCGTTTTCGTAAAAGCGTAATTTTTTATCAAAACCGAATTTATTTATTATAATTTAGTTGAATTTTCTAACACAAATGAAACAGGTGAAAAGGTACGCAAAACTAATTTTGAACTTGTCAAATCATTATGAATTTCACACTACAGAAATACATAGATATTTGAGAACAAGGAACACCAGATCGTATAAGCTACATCTGGCCTTATATTTGTCGGACCTCTTATAATCCGAGCTTTAAACTGTAGTTAAACCTAACCGCCAAGTTCTACTCTGACGCAGTAGGATTATACAAGTCTGAAGTTAATCGCAGTCAGGCGTTATTTACGCTCCTTCTATATTCTCTGAAGGCGTGTGGGAGCAAAATTGTGTAGTAACTTTAACTTGGTACACAAAGTTAAATGGGTATACCGACAAAGAGCTACTGTGATAGGATCTGACACGACACATCAAGGCGTAGGTACTTTGCCTTTACAGGTAGGATAGGATATTTCCGACATAAATTATTTGTTATGTAATCACATTATGGTAACAAAAACATAATTTTAATAAGTTGAATGTTCTTGTAATACGAAATAGAATAAGTATTTGTGTATGTAAGTAATTAAAAAATATATTTTATAAATTTATATTTTTAAATATAGTAGACTTTGAAAAATTCGTACGTACGTATTCGTAATTACGTTTTTAGGTTTAAAAGAATTGAACAACTAGTACTTTGTTACGCAAATTTTGCCTTAAAGTAATCGATACTAATACTATAAAGAGTTGTATGTTTAAACTTTAACCATAAGAATGCTTTTTTTTAAATGAGTTGAGCGCTTACGCAGGTCCGCGCCATTAATGTCGCGCTTGACTGTGGGGCTGGGTCTACACTCAAAGCCTTCTGCTATTCAGAGGGGCACTCAGCCCTTCACACGCCCTTAAAATGGGCCCTCAGGGTTCACCAAGGCATTCTACCCAAGGGCTTAAGACCATAAGATGCTACGTTATCTCTGAGTAACTTCGCCTATATTTATTCCTTAAATTTAAATATATCTATCTACTGGTCGCCTCATTGTTTTAGTATTGTTTATTACTATTTAGTGTGTTACATATATTTTCTTAACACCATTTTTGTTCTTGCTTCTTTTTATTTTTGCAACCACTAATTCTATAACGTTGTGCTTAGAGAACATACTATAAACCTGCCTCACCATCCCCATTTGGATGAAGCATTGGCTGAGCGTTGCTGAGCAAGAGACAGCTAAACTTTAGAGTATTTACTTTTATTTATACGACCATACTTCTATCCTTGTGGAATAAATGTTTTGTTGTTTGGAATGTCTAGTCATGCCGAGACCGCCCGCTACTTACTATTAATTTTTTTATTAATCTTAGTAAAGTAAGAATAAAAATAAATTTATCGATAGCTTGATATCCGTGTCTAGACACACTTGTCTCCATAATTTACACACATAAAAAACCTATATACAAAACTGTTTGCTTAACGGAGGTTGGAAAGTTGCCAATTTGGCAGATGATTTTTACCCCTAAATGGAGATAAAAACGTTATTTTCAAAAATCGTTGTTACGTGCGATCGAAGCCTTTAATATGTCTATTGTCTATTTTACAGTTATTCTTTTTTTTGTGATTTACAATTATAATATCCAATTTTATACATATAAAAGGAATAATAAAGTATATAAAATCTTGAATATCCAAATTCCTCTGTTCCTGAAACATTCCCGTTATTAACTTCCGATAAAAGATGGTTGTAATAAGTTTCTTTTGTCTGTAGCCATTGAAGCTGAAGACAAAAGACTCATTTCACCTTTAAATCAGTTTTTGTTGAAGATTAAGTCGGAAAATTACTTTATGAACTAGCTGATCATGCTTCCTCTGCGTATTAAGACTTTCTGCAAATAATCTATATATATTTAAGGCTTTTTAAGGAAATATCAAAAAGGTTAGTCGACATCACAGGAGACCGAAGAGCTGGCAGCTACTTTGGACAAAGAATCAGTCTAGCTATTCAAGGGGGGAACGCTGCCAGTATCTTCGGAACCTTGCCTAAAGGGACTCCTTTTAATAATTTATTTTAGTTTTTAAATTTTAAGGTTAGTTATTGTTTTTATTGTTTTTTTTTTGTATTTATAAGCTAGGTTAAATTATCATGTATATATATATATATCCTATTTTGAAACTAGAAAGCTTGAATTGCAACCACACTTTGATTGCACTGAAATAACTTTTCAATGACATTATAATTTTCAATAACGTAAAGGTAATTTGAGCTTTTAATGCGGCATACAATTCCACAGAAAACGAGGATTTGGGAATCGGTACGCCCTTTTTTTTAAGGACCCTAACTCGTATTGGTTAGTGTTGTACGCGGAAAAAACTGCCATAAAAACGTTCAGTTATGAAACGACGGACGGCGAAGTCCTATGGGTGGAATTTCGTATTCTGCCGTCCGATGATGAAATTTAACTGCAGGTATTAAAAATAAAATAAATCAGGTCCTCTTTAGGTCTTGGCCTCAGATTTCTGAATCTGTTTCATGATCATTTTTAAAACTTATAGGCAAGTAGGTGATCAGCCTCCACACGCCGTCGACTTTTTGAGTCTAAGACATGTCGGTATCCTCACGATGTTTTCCTTCACCGTTCGAGCAAATGTTAAATGCGCACATAGAAAAAAAGTCCATTGGTGCACGGCCGGGGATCGAACTTACCACTTCAGGTATGAAAGTCGCACGCTAAAGCCACTAGGCCAAGCATTAGCTGCAGGTATTAAACCCGAACAACTCCTCTGAACACTTTTAATTTCAAGGTGAAACTGAAATATTATATCGTACATGGGGCAGCCTTCTACCTGATAATTTCCTGATTATGCAGTTCCATAGTAAAAGTAAGCGGCACTGATCAAGTGGTACTCACTTGTGCACGAATGCTATGAGGTCAGCAGCTCGCCCACTTCCATCGCACACCACAACAGGAACTGGTGGTGTGTCAGTGACGTATTCGAGCACAGCGCGCACTGTGTTTGTTCCACCTTCTATTACTAAACACACGACTGGGGTTGACGAATGGGTATCTGGAACAATAAAAATAGAATATTGTCTTTGATTCGAGTTTATAAAGCGGAATATTGCAGGAACTTTGTGGCAAAATATGCGGTTAGTATGGTTTAATGGAAATCATAGTTTCATAACGTTATCCATCAACTTGTGGTAGCCTCTCGCTGGCCAGGAGTGTTGAAAAGCACTCAAAACCTTTTAAATTGATGTATCTGTTAAAGAAGTTTTATTAAATCAAACTATGTGATATATACAATTATATATTTAATATATGCTTTTTTGTTTGTTTTCTTTGTTGGTTAATAGTTAGCCTGAATTAACATGATTTTATTTATCGACACTTCGTTACCTTATACAAAAATATATAAAAAAAATCAGGTTACATAAGTTGTAAGGCAACGGGAGGCCTTATCACTAACAAGCGATTTCTTCCAGGCCAACCTATGGAACAATAAAAAAGAAACACCTTCAGAGTGAAGAAGTGCATAAATAATTAACAAAATAAAGTAAAATCTAAAGAAAAACCAAAAAATAAATCAACAATAATATGTATAAACAAAAATGTTAAATCTAATCCAAGGGGTAATTGAGTCACAATTAATATAAAATATTAAGTAGTGGCTAATTAAATAAAACAAGGCAGAAGAAAAATGATATTTGTACCAAACCATCTTTCTTTTTATAATAGGCAAACGGGCAGGAGGTTAATCTAATGTTAAGTGATACCGCTGCCCTTGGGCACTCACATTGCCAGAGGGCTCGCAACAGCGTTGCCGGCCTTTTGCCAAAATCTAATTATTAAAGTACTTGATTATATGTGAGGTTTTTTATTGGCCTAAAATGTATTACAATTTAGTACATACATATTTCAAATAATATGGACTTTTTTTTCTTTTAATACTTTTTATATTCACCATTTAATTAGATTTAGGGAGTTTAATGTTTGCGAATTATTTGATCTGGCAATGTCCAGTGTTTACATATCTGACGATTTCATCTAGTTCATAAAATGACTATTATGACCATACGAAGTAGCATAAACTCACTATAGCGGATGGGACAGGCAATATTCGGATCCGGTTGATTAATTAAAAAAAGGGAGTATTTAGACTTTTCTGCCTAACAATTCAAAATGATTGCTTTCCTCAGGAATCGAACGCAAAATCCGGAAAGGTTAACCTACAATATCAATACTTAGATTTCTATACACAATTCAACGCAATTCCATATTACGAAGTATAGGATCTAATTACGAATGTCATAACAAAATTCTATTAGAATTATGCGGTAATTTAAACATTTTCGGCCAATTTTACATCCCTCAAATGTATTGCGAATTCCATTCCATTTAGACCCCAATCTCCAACGTTAATAAATAAATTAACTAAATATTTTTATTTAATTATTAGCCGTACTCAGAGTAAGTCTCTAATGATAAATTAGGTATATAAACAACAGTGCAACTCAGCTATGAAGATTTAACTTCCGTCTATTATTAAACGATTAATATCTTCTATAAATGTTGTAAACTGGTTCAATACAGTGCAGTGGTGGTGCGCGGCAAAACGTGCCTTAAAAATCGATCAGTTGTGGAACGACGGATATCGAGGTAATCCCAGCTGCTGGTATTAATCCGAACAACTTCTCTGAACACTCTCTGATAAATGCGGTAGAAAATGCAGAGACCCCATATCTCTACCCAACGCCAAAGGATCAAGAAAAAATCGATAAATTAATATGTCCCATGCAAAATGGCAACTTTGATGTCTAAAAAGATATTGAATAATCATTTATAGATGCAGTAGAATACCAAAGATTGGAGCTGTCTACAAGACATCGGTTCAATAACAAGTAGAATAAGAATTATAAATAGTTAAAATGTTCTTACAATGCAAAGTTACTGAAATTACTGAGCAAAAAAAAATAACAATCTATATGTACAGGCGTTGAACACTATCCGCGCAATCAATTTTATGTCTTGGAGATTTTCGTTTTATCGTAAAAAAGCCATAAAATTGCATTTTTTATGTCGAAGGTAAAGGTGTGTTCAAATTTTATCTATGGTTCTTTATAGGGGTGTTAATGAATAAATGTTTTTTTACTACTATTGTAAACTTACTTTTTAATAGTCACCACAAAATTGAATACCTTTATTTTAAAGACACCTCTTATGTGAGAGCGTATTTTTAATACAAAATAAATCAGTGGCGCTACAACCTTTTTAGGTCTCCCTTGCGACTCTGTAACTCACTTTTCGAACTGTAACAGCGGCGGTCGCGCTCAAATCAGTCGTGAAGCAGTAATTTTATGATTTGGCATTCTGATAAGGAGGGAGCTTGTAGTTTATTGTTTAACCGCTGTGTGAGTTCGAAAAGTGAGTTACAGAATCGCAAGGCAGGTCTGGATTCTGTTTCGGTTTCATGATCATTTTGTCTAATAGACTAGTAGATGATCAGCCTTCTGTGCCTGACGCATGCCGTCGACTTTTTGGGTCTAAGGCAAGTCGGTTATCTCACGATGTTTTTTACCTGCACCGTTCGCGCGAGCCATCTTTGACATTTGTTCGGCCATATTTCTTTGCTATATTTACTTATAAATTAGGGATACTAAAGCACACATTTTAAAGTCCTTCATTAAGAGATTTTATCTGTAAATTTTTAATCTGTTATGTTTAATGATTTTACTAAAGTTGGTGTTATTTACAGGCTGTAAAGTAAAATTTGTGGATGCACCCGCCCACGCTAAATCAAATTATTTTTGCAATCTCTCTTGAAAATGTTTTTATCTATGTTTTAACAGGTTGTATCTATTTGCTTAACTAGACACAGTACGACCCTTGCAAAGCCAAACTGAGAATTGACATTCGTCAAAAATAAGTAGTTACGTTTGTCAGTGACAGACTGTAGTGTTTCCTGTCATTTGTGTTTGTTGTTTATGGCTTAATTGCTTGGTTAAATTTTAACTATCAGGCACCTTCGCTTCACAACTTAAAATAATTACTCTATACAATATTTAGTTAATCTAGAACCACTGAACCATAAAATGGTCGAAAGCATCAGTGAAATTCAGTGTTCCGTAAGAATTTCTCATCGTCACAATGGTCAAATCCCCTTTATAGCCGTTAAGACGGGATGATGTCCACCAGGAGCTTTTGTTTACTATTGTCACCCTTAAAATTGGATCTTTATGCCCCTTTAAAGGAAATCTTAAGGGACAAGGGATGACAAAGAAAGCCGTATTTATATAGAAATTGCTTAATTATATAGAAATATCATATTCTGACTAAATACACATTCTAGACAGAGTAATTATAATAAAGAATGGGACTGAATGAATTACTTTTTCCTGTTAGCCGACCTCAAGAGAGTGCTTAGCTGGACATAAATTTTGTGCATATAAAGAGTTAAACGAAACTGAAACCTATTTTGAGGGTAAAGACAAATCGTACATTGAAAATGGTATCGAAAATGGACGATATAATTATTATTGTATCGCTCTCGAAAGCTGTATTTGTTAATCAAATCAATCAAATATATATTGAATAATTTAAAAAATCTAACAAAAAAGTTATTGTAAGGATTATTAAGTTATATATAAAGAGTCTGAATAATATATAATATAACGCAACCTGCTTTAAAACCGAAATTCACGTAAACGATGTCGCGGGTATTAAACAGTCTACAATACATTGATGAATGTAAATATGGACGATATTTCTTTATGTTAATACGAATTCTATGAGTAAATATGAAAATAATTTCGCCAAAATCCGAGCTCAATTTCATGGAAGATGTATATATTACAGATAACATAAATAAGGTATTTATTTTATATCCCGGCTTGTATGAATACTAGAAACAGTTTCGCTTAAATTTAGCTACGTTTGAAATAGAAACGATATAATGTATTTAATGTGAGCAAATATTTCTCACCACTAAATTCGACACAAATAATACGGTTTATTTGTACGTTTGGGAAACCTAGCTTATTTAGGTATTTAACGTACAATCATTTAAATATACTATTTTATTTATAAAATTTAAAAGCATATATACAAGAACGTAAAAATTTTAAACTAGCAAATAAAAAAAACAGTAGCAAACAGTAAAAAAACTAAATAGAAACTTAAATCTCATTAAGAGCGTAATACACAAATTGACAGTAATTAGGAAAATTTTTAATGATGGAAGATTATCTATATTTTCATTCATTAAATTTGCTAAATTTGTTATTGCTTGATTACAAAATTTGATCACTTAAAACTTCAAGTGATTGTTTTCTGAAATATTTTGTACGGAATAATAGTAACCGCACGTTGTATCAAGCAAATTGTACGGATCGAGCGAGTGTCGAGGAGAAGCATGGGAGGGGGCGGGGAGCCCTAAGCAAGGCCGAACCAAACGAGCAGTGACCCGCGCGTCGCGCGGCTTGACGAACGCAAAACAAAATGTCGGACGAAAAGCGAAGTAACTTAATATTCTCTAGGAATCTACTAAAACAATTTCTGCGTATGTATAAAGAATCGCCGTGTCTATGGGATCGTCGCAGTCCCGAGTACAAACAGAAGAAGAAAAGAGACGAAGCTATTTCTCGCTTGACGAAGTTAGTCAACGAATACGACGCAAAAGCAACAAGAGTGCATGTTTGTAGGAAAATTGAGAGTTTGCGATCGTGCGTACGACGGGAATATCTTAAGGTGCAGTATAGCTTACGTCACGCACAGAAACCGAATGAAGTGTACGAGCCATGTCTTTGGTACTATAACCTGTTATCTTTCGTATTCGAAGATACAGAGAACAAAAAGGTGCAATGGCAATCGGTAAGTATAGCAATGCGTTCTAGCATCAAAAGTTCTTTAAAATTTTGTAGGTACCAAGACTGACAGTTTTAGCGTGCAATATCGATATTGTTTTTTCATTATTAGTAGCTGTCGGAGTAGTAATCGCGTGGTACAAAATCATTGGAGCAATCGCCATCGCATTAAGGAATCACTGAACTTGTGTCATTCATCTGTGATTTTAAATGCCGCGCCAATAATTTAGATAAAATACTTTTTTTAGGGTTTAATACTTACGGATAATGGCACCCTCGATACACAAAATACAAAAATACTTACACGGATGAAGTTTTTGCGCAGCGATGTACTTTTCTAGTTTTCGCCTTAATACGATCTCAGCTCCGTATCTCCCCACTGAACCATTGTCCACAAGTAGGAAGTAGGCATGGCGATTGTTCAGTACTGCCAGTTTCGATCTAAAAAAAATAAGCATTGTTGAATAAGAACAATACAAATGGCGGTTGTTCCGTTTCATATCCTAAGTATATCTATAATAATATCTACTACTTAAGTACAACTAGTTAATCTCTAATCACTCAAGGCCTCTGGGTTTGAATTCTCGCAAATGGATTCGTACACACGAGGCTGGTGCAGTACTAAAACCATCAGACTAATCTTTTACATAACTTAAAGTAACAATAAAATTAAATATATATCTCTGTCATACATAAAAAAGCGTTAAAAAAATAGCTTTTTAATAAGAAGCAGCGATAGGAGGTATTTTCTTATATAATTTAATTCTAAACCCGCGTACAAAGGAAGAATTTCGAAATGCAAAGTTAAAAGTTTTTATTGCTATGGATCAACACAAATCTAATTCGTACAAGATCTTATAGATTTGTCAAACTAATATACTTTTTTTCTTTTAAAAATCGTAACCAATTAATAATGTGGTGATAAACAAAGTTGTTCGGAGGCAACATTGTTTTAAAAAATCATTGGCGCTACAACCTTTTTAGGTCTCAGATTTCTGTATCTGTTTCATGATCATTTGTCAATCTAATAGGCAAGTAGATGATCAGCCTCCTGTGCACGCCGTCGACTTTTTGGGTCTAAGGCAAGCAAGTTTCCTCCCGATGTTTTCCTTTACCGTTTCAGCGAATGTTAAATGAGCACATAGAAAGTCCATTGGTGTACAGCCGGGGCACAAACCTTCGATCTCAGGGATGAGAGTCGCACGATGAACCACTAGGCCAACACTGCTCTTGGCAACATTCTTTGATAATCTTTTTTTTTATTTGCTTATCTTAAAACTAGACATATAAAATATTTAATTTAGCTACAAGGCTATGGCTAGGCAATTTACTACTAGGCTATGTTTTTTGTAAAAAAATCAAAATTTGTAAATTGTCGGAGATAGACGATAAAAAAATTCTACCTAAACCCGAAAATGCTACCTAAATCTGAAATAAACAAAATGAAAACGAAGTCTGGTGCGGGCGGAATTTCTAAAGAACAAAACAGATATACAAGAAAATGTATTTTCGCTTCTCTATAAAGTGTAGATGTATGTAGGTTTCGAGGTTGAGGTATCATTTTCGTGTTCGCAACGTCCCTTAGGAAATTATTATTATGCGATAATCCATTACAGCTTTCCACGGAAAAGGATTAATGATAAACTAAACTTGAAATGTTAGAAGAATGTCTTTTAATGCTGTTAAGAAATAAAGATTTATTTATAAACTTTAATTGTTTATTCGGATATTAGTGATTAAATTCTTAAAGGTGCCTTTAAGGCTTAGTTCATATGGCCGCGCGGAACTACGAACCGCGCGGTACAAGATCAATATAAACGGTAATTATCGTCTACATTACCGCGCGGTACCGCACGCCAACGCGCGGCGTGCTCCGACCCGCGCGCAAGATCTTGAACCGCGCGCTTCCACGCGGCCGCGCGCGGCACTAGTTTTGCAAACCTGTATCGACCTGTTCAGTTGATCCGCGCGGCTTGAGACGGAAAGACACATGATCGATGCAAACTGAGTACCGAAGATATGGTATTAAGTATTTGGTGATATGCAATATCTTATAGCATCTTCACTGGATTTTAAATCATTTTCAATAGAATCGTATAAAAAATCAAAGGATGCAACTGACATCCGAAAATAGTTAAAAAAATTATCTTCGTGTAACCTCAAGTCGGGATACAAAGTGACAAACAGGCTGGAAGAAAGTCTGTCACTTAAAACTGGATGCACCCAGTATCGTCTTTGTCTTCTTCTGCGACGTCTCAGTCTTCTATATAAAATCCATAAGCAAATTGCCTCCTCCACGTCCATTGTCAATCAATGTTGAAGCCACACTGGCGCGCGTACATATACCGTCATGTGAATGCTCCAACCGCGTGGCGACGCGCGGCTACGCGCGGTCATCTGAACTTAGCCTAAAGGTGCGGCGTGGGCGAGTATTTAGACCATTTTGACAACAATAACAATGAACAGCTTCAAATTTTTTCCTACATATTTTGATCACTCGGCAAAGCTGTACCATGCTATTATGTGGTGGCGCTTGCTCCTTAACCTCATAGAAATTAATTAAAACATCATGATTTGTGAAATGAATGGAAGAAGGTACACATTTTTGTCTTTAACCTAACTTATCCTGATGACTTATCCTGAAACGCCACTTAGAATAAAAAAATACCCTAATCTAACCTAATGTGATTCACTGGGAGCTACTGGGAACTAAGACAATTTCATTTAGGTACATCAAGCATGTAATATTTTAATTTTTTTTAGGGAGTTCAAAGCCATGCGCCTCCTTAATATTACTTGGGGTCCTACACACAAATCGTAAATAACGATAAAACTTTACCTTTTTAATATGACAACATGATAACTAATATATAATATTTGGCATTTGCATGTCTTTTTTTATATGGCTGATTGTGCGGTGTTTTTTTATAATTAATCAATCTAAATGTAAGTGTTGCAAATAAACGAGGTATTATTATTTGCAAAAAATTTATTAATTTTTGAGTTGCCCTAAAATTTTTTTAAGTTAAAAATTGTTACGCTAGTAAAGTATCGATTTTTAGTCAAAATCATAGGTTTCCAATCGGTCTTCATCGCACATGTAAGTTTTATTTGAAAAACAATTACATATAATAACAACAAAGAATTCAAACGTACGATTTTGAGGAATTACATCCTTAATACGACTAACTTATGTTCTTAAAATTTAATAAACCGTTTAAAACGTAGCAAGCATTTTCATTATTAAATAAACGCTAGAGATAAACAGCTAAAAGGCCTAAATAATTAGTACAAAGAGATTGGATTCACATATGGGAATCGGGATTTATTTCGGTCACGTTGCCTTATGGAATCACTGAAATGGACAATCGTTATTCTACGAGCATAGCAATGTTTTCCAGCAAATTGTATTTTTATACTAGCCTCAAGGCGTGGTTCGAATATAGCAATATTAATAGAAAAGTATTTCTATAATACCAGATTCGTGGCTTAGTAGAGGCATTTAGCGTGTAATTCAACATTTATTTTTATTTATTTATTCACAAAAGTACATACACTATCAATACAGTACTACGCTAATACGATAAATAAAATGAAACATAAAATATATAATATTAAAAACATCATATCGACGTAGGAAAGCACATTTGCTGTAAGTAGACATATTGCAATTGTTCACCAAAGCCAAAAAACTTTATTAATTTCGGAAAAAAATTAATAGTGTCGAACCTATCCATGATATTGTTACCATTTTTGAAACATATATTTATTTAACTGCCAGTCACCATTTGCAATGTAAACTTTTTATCCAAAGTTACTATAAGTACGTGTTTGGCTAGTTACAGCATACAGTTTTTTAAATCACACACCTTTAAAACGCTGTAACTAAGGAAGAAAAATGTACGCGCGGAAATATTATCAATTTACAGGCGGTAAATATGCTGTATGCAGGAAATTTATGTATTTGGGTACTTTTAATTGTAATTCAAGATGTAAGATTAGTTTATAATTATGATTAGATCTAGAAATGCAGTGGGTCATTTGGTAATGTAATGTTTGGTTGAAATAAAGTGTCGTAAATGGTAAAAAAAACCAAAACTGTAGGTTCCCTAAACTTGCTGTAAGTAAACGAATGTAAAAATCACACGCCGCTGAAATGCTGTAAGTAGCGTTAAGTTTTTAAATGGGAAGAAGTAAGTATTTGTAAAGGAAAAAAATGCAGATTTTCTTTTGCTGTAAGTGCAAAATGTCTGAAATGACTAGATTTTGGTCTACATACAGCATTTAATCTTGCTAAAAATAATATAAGTACGGGCGTTTTCAACGGCGTATGTAATTTTTTTTCATCGTAGAGACACAGGACCCAGGTCATTCGATGCGGCTTTTTTTCTGATTCTAATGGCAGGAAAAAGTCACTTTAGGTATTTTGTCTACTTACAGCAAATATGCTTTCCTACGTCGATATAAAAACATATAATGCGTTCTTATATGTCGATAGTTTCGAAGAATGGCTTCAAAGCCAATTGCAGAAAATAGGGAAATTATTAATGAAACATATTAATATAATATATTATATAGAATACCTACTGTAAAATGTATAGTTGCAATATTTGTGAATATGTGAGTAACATATATTAACATAATAATTTAGTTATCTGCTGCATTGTTTTTTATAACACCATGCGCCTATTTTATTTTAGTATAGTAGTTTTTTGCCGTTCTAGGTACATGGTCTTTACATATTATTATAAAATCAATGTATTTGTTACCGGAATATAACATAATCCGCAATTTGCGAAAATGTGGACGTAAAATAATACTATTTATCTCTCGTTTAGAATCCTACGAATCCTGCGGATTTTGTTATATTCCGATGACATATACACAATATGTTAAAACTATTTTAAAAGAGTAACTATGGAGTTTCTTACCCATTCTTCTCCATATGCAGGGAAGGAAGAAGAAATGGGGCAACTTGTCATTCTTTTTAAATACTTTTAACTTGTAATTTTGACTTTGAAACGTGCCTTTTTAATAGGCCTATGTGAAATAAATGATTTGACTTTGGCTTTGATAGCCTTTCGTTACATAAGATAATATGGATAAACAAAAACTTTATAGGTAAACATACTTAGTATATGATACGAGTTTCAATACAGTAAAGGAAATATACTATTTTCAGGAAAGTGAAGTGATAAAAGAAAGTCCGGAAGTCATAACATCTGATAATTATGAAGAATCACCAATTGTATATCCGAACTATACATCGGATTCCATTATCGAAGAACAGGCCCCACAGAATTATTACCAGGATATGTACGATAAGAAAATACGTGGGGGAGAACTAAAGGATGAATATGACGCAATAGGTAATACATATATTTTTTGTAAATGTTTTTTTTTAAGTAACAGGGGCAAAGGGGCAGGTGGCTCATCTGATGTTAAGTGATACCGCCGCTCATACACACTCACTTTGCCAGGGGCTCGCAAATGAGTTGCCAGCCTATTTTGATGTTTTTAAATATCTCTCTGGAGATACTACTATCATGACGTAGTATCGTGGTTATCTGTATAGTAAGATCTGGCGTGAATAATTTTGCCTGCGCTACTTTTACAGCAGTGTATAATTTTGAGGATGACGAGTCTGGCTTAATCAGTCTATCTCCAGGTCTCTCCTCAAGGTCCAGGCGATCCTATGCCTTCGGTCTTGCCAATTACGATGAGCTTTTCTAGTTTCTCGTCGCCTGTACGCATTGTGTGACCGAAGTACGAAATGAATTATTTTTTTTTACTATATAATAGTTTTATCGGAAATTAAATACACGTTTTCGGTGGGTGGATGATTATTTTACACTTCAAATGTGCAACAGAAATCCATAGTAATTACGCCTATAACGCGGTAGACCCGGACCACGTTTTAGGAAATCGCATTGTACGCGTCAATCCTTTTTTTTAACAATTCAAAAACTAGGAACACGAATTTACATAAATTACTTATTTTAATTTTATAACACAACTGGACTTGACATATATATATATATATATATATAAATTTCACACTACACGCTTTAGCGGGGAAATACCGCATTATACGGGGACGGAATCCGCATTATATTACAGTAAATATAGACAATACATACAGACTAAGCAGCAATATATATATGCCTATGACACCTTAGATATTAAAAAAAAAATTACAGCTCTATCGTACCAAGTCATATTCCCTTTCAAACTTGCTTAGTTTCCTATTACATAAAAAATAAAAACAAAAATTTCGTTAGTATTTTATGGCAAATAAATTTTTGAAATCTTTCTCTCGTTCGGAAGCCATTCAAGTATGATAAGATAATTCAATATTTTCTTTCGGAATTTTCAGGACGATGGAATAACATTATCGGATATTGCCAATTGAATTGTAAAGTTGCTCGGTTCTAGATATGGAATTATTGTATTTTTTTTTAATAACCTTTTTTAAGAATTTTTTGTACAAAGTCATCTGGATACCCGGTTGTGACTTACTTGTCTGGTAACAGATTTAGTCATGTTTAGGAGACATTTACAGACTTGACTGATTATCTAAATATATAAAAGAAAGTCGTGTTTGTTACACTATTTATAACTCAAGAACGGCTGAACTGATTTCGCTGAAAATTCGTGGGGTAGCTAACAACCAGGAGACGGACAATGGACATAGGACTTTTATCCTGTTTCCATTGGACCTGACATAAAACTTGGTATAACAAAACGCAACAAATAGAAAAAGAAAAATGTATACTGATAAATACTGTTTTGACTGCGAAACATCAGTGTAGCCGTTTATTTGTTAAAAATGGTATAAAAAACGCAACAAACAGAAAAAGAGAAAGTTATCAGTCAAAACATCAGTTTTTTCAGTTTTTCGTTCATTTGTTAAATATGGTATAAAAAAACGCAACAATTAGAAAAAGAAAAAGGTTATCAGTCAAAACATCAGTCTAGCAGTTCATTTGTTAAAAATGGTATAAAAAAACGCAACAAACAGAAAAAAAAAGTTATCAGTCAAAACGTCTGTTTTTTTCAGTTTTTCGTTCATTTGTTAAAAATGGTTTAACAAAACGCAACGAACAGAAAAAGAAAAAAGTTATCAGTCAAAACATCAGTCTAGCCGTTCATTTGTTAAAAATGGCATTACAAAACGCAACTGACGTAATGTTACGTACGATTAAAATTTTGACTATGAGAAGTTTTGAAGTTGATCGGTTTAATGTGTTTTCCAGTTTCGAGTTCCTATTAGCTTATCGTGCCGATATTATCTTTGACAATGCCAAGAAGTTCGAATATTTTCCGACAAAGCCGTAATGGATAATGGGTGCACCGAATTTGATTAGTGTTTAAGTGGATTCGAGAATAGTTAAGATTATTTACAATTAGATGTTTTTTTTTGTATTTAAGATGTGTGGACAGGAATACGTCTGTCGGGTCCGCTAGTTATTAACAATAGATTTATGTAAACATGTTACGGCTACCTGTCGTTAAAGCCTAGCTTTAAAAGCCTTTATTACCGGTGTTTGGTTAGTTGGCAATTCTTCTCTTTTTTTAAATCAATACAAAAAATTTATTCTCTTAAACCTTATCAAACTTATTATATTTATTGTAAAACATGGACTAAATATAGAACCAGTAGCAACGATATTTTCAAATGGTAACCATGGTAACGAATCAATTTTGCACAATATTTTCTTTGTCTTTCAGGAATCAACGTCGCAGCAAAGCTTCGCGCTCTTCCCGCTAACACAAGAATTTTGGCTGAGAAACTTATAAATGACGTCCTGTACCAGGCACAAACTGACTCCCTAAGTGCCTTTACAGTTTTGACATCCCCGGATCCAATTAAATCGGAAACTGTGATTTAAAATATTTTGTTTTATTTATAATCTTGGAGATACACTAGCAGGTAGCAACCTACCTCCGTAGAGAATACATGTCAATGAACTGCAAACTTTATTTGACTTATAAATCAAAGTAGAACTGTAATATTATATGTATTTCTATTTATCTTTATCAAATATATTACCTCGGTGATGCCATAGCATGGTAGGGGACGTCTCTTCCTCTGCCAATGAGTTCATTAGCGCCCTCAACGATGCCCCAGGGCGCTATACCAATGCTGACCACGCGACCAGCGCGCTGTGACCTCTCCAACTGCAGAGCGTCACCGACTTGCCGGGTCACACCTGGGTGGATAGAAATAATTGGATCAGAAAAATACAGAAATGAACAGTTTCATTTTTTAAAAACACATGACCAACGAAAATTACTTTATCTTCTAGCAAGGACTGCTAGCATAATTAAAATCGTGTATTTTAAAAGAAGTTATAAATAATCCTATGAATTGAGAACTAGGGGGTTCAGGTCTTAGAGAGTTTATTGCCAGTTCTTCTCTTCCGTTCTACGCCCTTCATTTGAGAACTGGCAGTAGATGTAAAATTAGTAGCATTTTATATGTAAGTATTTCTTTTTTTGACGTTCATACACTACATTGTGTTACCTTAATGAATAAATGATTTTGACTTTGAATATTAAAAGGACATAGCAGCTATGCAAAATAGATTTGAGGAATCGTAATTCTGGCGTATAAAGCATTGAATTATTTAGTTATACCCCTGTCTATCATATTCCCAATTCGGTAATGGATAATATTGAGTCGATCCTCAGACGAGACATCTCCTAATAAATAAATATTCGACATTCAAAAAATTGGAATCCATGTAATTTTTGTATTGTTTTTTGCGTAACTTTCATCTTTCGCTCAGTAAATGGAAGCTCTCAAAAGCTAATACATTTGGTTGGGTTTCGTAATTTTTCATGTATGCCTCGCTTAGTTACATGATGTCTTATGGCCTATAGCCGTCCGTCTAGATGACATATTCCATGGTGAAATATTATTTCAATGCTTACGAGTAGTTTAAATTGAAATTTTTACAAAAAAGTCTCGATTCCTGAAAAGAACTCAAAACGTCGAGTGAATGATTAAAATTTGTATATCTGTTTAAGATTTATGTTAAGCCAAAGAAAATTATGTAAATGTTAAATTAAATTTAAGACGAAATGAAAACTTCCAAGATAATAATAATGGCCAAGAAAGTGTGTTAAGTCGACCGAATGCCTCTAGCAAGTTGAGCCAGGAAAGTTTAATTTCTTAATTATACAATGCTGTTTCGGGTAACGCTATCACCGGTGCCATTTCATTTTCAAAGCTTTAAAACAATCATAACTTCTTGTTATGTTTTTAAAAGTAAAATGATTATTATAAATTAACCTCCGACGAAAAACTGGGGGTGGCAGCAATGTATCAATTTATTTCCTCTTTTTGTTAGCCTGCGTAATTGAGAAGGTTCTTAGCTGCATGAAGATTTGTTTAGCTCTGATGTTGGTTGCCGCAGAATTAACAGGTGTTACTTGAAATTGAATTGAATTTTGTCACTGTTCTTTCATCTCATTTCCCTCTAAATCCAACTTTGTACATTTAATATTTCTACGTAATTTACAGAAGCATTATATTAAATAATAAACCTTTATAATGAAAGAGTCCAATATACTTAGCAATTTACAATAATAAGACAACTTTTTTGCTTTTATTTAATTATCTCGTATAACAGGTTCAAATATTTAACTAAGTAATACTTATTAGGGCGTGTTGTGTGATGGTTTGAAAGTGAGGGTATGTATGTGGGGTATGCCCATGATGCAGGTTATTTAGCGCTATGTAAATTCTTAACACTCCTCTTAAGATTCCGTGATAGCTTAAACAAGTCAAGTCTTAAATAGTGGTCGTTGTATGTCCGGGCTGCGCTATACAAAACTGAGATGTTTGCGTAATTGGTGTTGATCAACGTGAAACAAAGGATGACCAGTCTGGTGGACCGTAAGTCTGGTTTTGTTAAGTATAATAATAATATCGGTGAAGCGATACTAAGAGTGTGACAAAGTATAAAAATCTATCGTAATTTTTTACGTATTTACGGTTAAGTTTTGCAAAAAGCTACGAACAAGAAAATATAGGAAACGCGCTGTAGAAGTATTCTCGCATAACGCGCATGTCCCCATATAACGCGTTATGTTCATATAATTCACGTTTAAATTTTCTCGTTAAAGGGGATTTAAATGGAATATTAAGAAAATCTATATTTCGAACGAAATAAGTGCGTACAATTCATTATAAATTTCACAATACAGAAAAATAAAGTGTCGAATCCCCGTGTTATATGGGGATTATTCGTGTTATACGAGATACTCGCGGGAAATCGCGTTATATGAAAATGCGTTATAAGAGTACCGTGTTATAAGATTACTGATAATACGGTACGCATTTAACGGGATTACTCCTCATTCCTCATTCGGAAACTCACTTTTCATACAGAGATGTACAATAATCCTTCTTATACAAAGCTGATTCTGACAAAACGAACACACAAAAACAAATTGTCAAAGTCGGAAATTATTCTCGTACAATGCGGCGTTCAATTTTTGTTTATATAGAAAATATATGTTCTGCAAAATTTTATGATAGTATTAAAAAATAAATAAATCAATGGCACTACAACCTTTTTAGGTCTGGGCCTCAGATTTTTGTATCTGTTTCATGATCATTTGTTAATCTAATAGGCAAGTAGGTGATCAGCCTTCTGTGCCTGACGCACGCCGTCGACTTTTTGGGTCTAAGGCAATCCGGTTTCCTCACGATGTTTTCCTTCACCATTCGAGCGAATGTTACAAATGCGCACATAGAAAGAAAGTCCATTGGTGCACAGCCGGGGTTCGAACCTACGACCTCAGGGATGAGAGTCGCATGCTGAAGCCACTAGGCCAACACTGCTCTGATGATAGTACCTATTACTTCTGTATTTTCTAATGCGATCGAAGTTATGGGTACCTGTGTTGGTGCCTCCAGTAAATATCCAGGCACCGGTGGTCTTCGCCGCTTTCAGAAGACCTTTCCTCAACACTTTCTTCAGTTTGGGTTGAAGGTCGAAGTTGGCCTTCCCACCCTGGATGGTGATGAGCAGTTTTGGCCTTTCCAACGCCCATTCGCGTGTAAGCAGTTGGACTATTAGCTCCGGTCGTGTATCGTGTGATAGACGGACATACTGAAATTAAAGATTTATTTGAGTGAAAGTGAAAGTTTATGAATGCCCTATGAACGTAAATAACGTAAAAAAAATATGCCCATGAATAGGTACTCATACATTGACAGAGGGCTCGTATGTGCGTTGCCGGCCTTTTAAGTATTGGTACTTATACAACAGGAGGCAAACGAGCAGGGGGCTCACCTTATGATTAATTGATACCGCCGCCCAAGGACACTTAAATTGACAGAGAACTCGCAATTGCGTTGCCGGCCTTGTTTTTAAATAATTGTATATATTTTCTTGGAAATCAATGTTCTTTAAATTAATATCTACTTAAAATCGAATACACATACTTTTATCAAATACTATACACTAAAATGTCCTTACGTTGTTTTAGTAGATATATATTATATCTACTATATATTAAATATATATAGTAGATATATATATTTAGATTTATTAAGTTCATTAAAATATTAAATATTATATACCTGTGCCTTCGTAGGGTGTGGTCCTCCCTGGAACTCCACCGTGCCATAGGCATCTGTTGGTGATGGCTGAGTATGCTTTATGGGCACCCATGCTTCACCAACGGGGCCAATGGGGATATTAGCACCGTGCGCGGTCTTGCTTAGGCCACACCAACATCTAGAAATTTGAACATACATATAATATATTATTGCATTATTATAACACACAGAATTACAATTTTCTTAACCTACATTGTAATAATAAAAATTTATAAAAAGAAAATTAAAACAAATTTAAAAAAAAGTGCGTGCGTACAAACTACATATGTCAGAAGTGAAACTTCTTTGGCAAACAAATTTTTAAGTCTTGTTCATATTTATACAAATCTAAAACTTTAGATTTTCGAGACTTAGAAGGAGGGAAAAAGGAAGATATGTTAGGTATTGTCGAAAAAGTGTCGAAAATTAATAGCAATTATAAATTTAATTTTTTAAATGTATTTCTTCGATAACAAATATTTTAATGTACAATTCGTCATTTGAGATTTCAATAAATTATTTTGCATAAAATATAAAATACTTATACTTCATAAATTCTCTTTAGGACATTTTAATTTTATAAATAGTACTTTCTATAAGGTAATTCGCCCTTCTCACTCTCTCTCAATCGGTCTCACCCTTTTCTTCGACAAAAACGCTGCACATCTTCTACTTCTCATATTTATAAAGTAAGTTTAGGAGGTTTTATGAACAACAAAGATGATACATAACGATTTAATAACTGCAAAAACGGAAACAGTTGTCCTTAAGCCGAAAAGTTTTAATCTCAAAAGTTTCTGAGTCAACAGAGACCAATAAAGCTTTTAGGACGAGGCCCAAATATTACTCTACCTTTAAATTCATATATTTTTCGCGAAATGAAAAGGCACGAGGTGTTTACACTAGGGACGGTAGAGATTTCGTTGAATAAGAGCGACAAATGTATGACAACCTTCTTTAGTACGGTAAAACTTGATATTTTCGTTCGGTTTGAGTTTAAAAACGAGACAATTTGATACAATCAGATATTTATGACAAATTCCTTAAATAGTATTGTACGAGCCAAGGCTGTACATTTTGCTCACTCAGGCTTTCTTAGTTTTATAAGCATGTCGATTTTCTAAATCGAGGTTACACCCCGAGAGTCTGGCTGTAGCAGACGTAGGCACTATCTTCAACTGTCACATTGCATTCATTCGTTACATAGCAATTAACATTACATTATTTCCTATATATTCTATTGTTGCACGCGAGTGGTTAATATAGAGTGAAAATAAAATCTTTTATTATTTAAACCACCCCGATGATCCGGGAACCGTATGTTTATTCTACGTAATGGATAAAAATCTATTTGCAGACGGCGTGATTATCTTAGTTGCTACGCGTCATATCAATTATTCACATGATTTAGATTTTATCTTATGAAGTATCCAGATGATAACTGTCTAACTATACGTACCAATATTGCCATCATAAAAATAATAATAATAAAAAAAGGTAATATAACGCTACTGCGACCTCAAATTCCAAGATGATCCTCTTTCCGCATATACTAAAACGGAATTTCATTTCGCGGTGACGTATAAGATTTTTATTTACATTTTTAACAAAATATGCTACCATTACAGATTACTTCAATGCGGCTAACAATTTAGATTTATAGCACATATAAAAAAAAACATTAAAAAGTAATAGATTAAAATATTTACAAAAAGACTAACTATTTCTTTAAGTATAGACACGAAGCAGACCTTTGACAGTTCTCTTAACGGAAAATTAGAAACGTTTGTTAATCTATGAAGTTCGTTAAATAATTCTATACGAATAGTAACGGCGGTCGGTGTCACCTCTTAACGTAACCATCAGGCACCTTGAGACCTTGTTATATTAGAAGACAACCCTTTGATGTCAAGTACGTAAGGAGTCTGTGTAAAACCAAGTTCAATTATTTTATGGCACTACACCTGCTTCCTTTAACTTTGATTCACTCACTTTACATTCAATAAACAAATAACACGCTATGAAAAATGGATCATATTTTTTTCTCTAGCTTTACTATCATAGTATATCTAATAAGCAGGTATTATAAACATCAAACCTTCATCTGACATAAAGGAAAACAGGTATCTAATTTTCTTGTCACGAATTGACAGTTTCGACTTGTAAGACCGGAAAGGTCTATTAGCCTGGGGTCTATCTAACTAAACCCGTATTCCCCAACATCCGCAGGGATTCCTTAAACTTATATTGAAAATGGAAATGTCAAACTTTTCCCATAACGCGATAAGTAGAGAAGAAAACATTTATGTCCGTCTTCATTTGGTACGATTCGTTTTTGTTTATATACGAGCCCCGATGCAAAATAGCTCGTCTAGTGTGAAATTTTCTCTGTGAGATTTTTTGTAACTTCATTATTTTTGTATATATCTATATAAAATATTAAGCTGTTCTACTATCTCATGTCGCGTTACTTATGCCATTTTTTAATTATGAACCAATAAACTATTTTAGCTTTTTAAACTTATACATAATACATATCCTGTTTTAAATTCGAAGAAGTTATAAGCAAAATAGTTCGTCTAATTGTTAATCGATGCAAAAGAGTTGCATCGAATTGAGGATTTGACCGGTCGGTCAATTAAAATTAGTAATAAGTCTAAAATATAGATTATTAATCGGGCCCATTAAATTGTCATATATATAATTGTAATTTAAATATATTTTTTTTGGGATTCACCTCCCTCACTTAATCCGTGCGATCAGATTTTTTGTGTAATGAATATATTAAGCTACTTAAATATACAATAAATCAAGGTAACTTTGAGTAACAAATCAGAGAACTTTATATAAATAAATATATTGTATTACTTTCATAAAATCATAAATTAAGGACAGCTAATTTGTAATGACGTTAATTGACGGTACGAAGTTCGTGGGTCATCTCGTTATTAGAGTAAATGAAAGGTAACTTACACATGCTCGTCCTTGGCGCTGGCGACGAAGCATTTACACTCGCGTTTATGGAAGGTGCTTTCAATCCAGCTACGTGTGGTTTTCTGAAACGAAAAAATATGCCATGTTAATACTTTTCTTGTAGGTTTTATTTCAATCATTATTCAGAAGACTCGTAATTTAAATCGCATTTAACTGTACACTTATAATATATCATATAAATATGAAAAATACTAGTAAGGTCCAAAATTGGAAGTGTAATATTTTTGAAGTGAAAACTTCTTTAGTGGCGTTGTACACTTTTTTTGGAATGGGTTTAAAAAAGAAATTAAACTCGCGTCAGGACACATGACCTGATCGAAAATTTCGTAAGACGGATGGAGAGTAGACAGCTGGCGCGGCGTATTTAATGTAATATAAATTGTCATGTTTGTGTACGATAGCGCAATAAATAAATATTGTATTCTACCACATAAATAATAGTACTTTTATACTGATAATTAAAGCAATTCGTGCAAAATTATTCCCTAACCATTCCAAAATATCAAAAATTCACAACGTTAATATTCAAGTTTTCACTTCTGCCGGCACTCCCGGAGTGCAACCCGTCGTTTTTTTGAAGTTATACTTCTTTAGGCGCGTTATGATAAATTGATGAGAGTGAAATTTTACGATGCGCGCGCACCGTTACACAAAATTAACAGAATGGAGTTGCCCACGGAAGGTGCTAAGGCATTGGACATAATTTAAAAACAACTTTCGAATAATAAAAGAATTTATGTTACACTTAATGTAATAGAATAATAATAAATATTTATTCATTTAATTATTCAAATGTAAACTGAACTTTATGCACTATAATGACTCCTTTTCAAGTCTTTGATTATTTAATTGTAATTAATTATTTGCTTGCAATCAAAAACTATTTTTAATAATGCCAAAGAAGTATAACTTCTTACGCGCGTACAAAATTACACGCATCTATTTTTTGTTTTATGTTTATCGTAACTGTCATGTATTTTAGAATAGATATCTTGCAACATATAACTGTTGATAAAACATTATATATGGTGTGGTGAACTTTTATAAATACGTAAATAAATAACTTTCGCTCGCAACGATAACTGAAAAGCACTCAAAACTTTGTTAATAATGTAATAAATACAAAAGCTTTTTTACTTTTTTATATAACAAAACAAAGGGGCAAACGGGCAGGAGGCTGACCTGATGTTAAGTGATACCGCGGCCTATGGACAGTCTCAATGCCAGAGGGCTCACCAGTGCAATACCTGCCTTTTAAGAATTGGTACGCTCTTTTCTTGAAGGACCTTAAGTCAAATCGGTTCGGAAATACTTTAGTAGCCAGTTAGTTCGCGGTGCGCGGCAGAAACGGCCTTAAAAAACGCTCAGTGGAGTTGATACGGGTGGAATTTCGTATTCTCGTCCGATGCTGAAACTCAGCAGCAGGTATCCGAACAACTACTCTCCTTGGTAAATGCGGTAGAAGATGCAGAGTTTATGTAAATAATAAATTACTGTCTTTAGAAATCAAAGAGTAGAAGAATGTCACAATTTATTTATTATTTTTAAACAACTGAGCCAATATTATGCAAATATTTGCTTTTAATTAGATATGTTGTTGACGCCATAATATATTTGGGTTAGAAAGGGAACGTTTAGGGACTCGTAAATTAAATTAGTCGTGTGTATTTTGACAAGTTTACGTTTACGTAATATGAGGATAGATTGTGCTGACTGTGCACTTATAAATATTATGTTTGTGTATAATTTAGGTCCGTAACTAGTTAGTATTACCTGTTTCAGTCTAATATTTAATACACACATTTTCAAAGTAAACTTACTTAATTTTGTAAGTTAAATACTTGAATATAAGTCATATAAATAAAAACGTTACGTCACTTAAAACCTAAAAACAAAAAAAAATGTAAAATGGTGTATTGACAATTAATAATACTAGCTGCCTCCGCGAACTCCGTTTCTCCTTAATGTGATTTTACTTAGCCTACTTTTTTAGTACAAACCCACATGGAACATTTTGCTATGCTACCCCAGAGATTGTTCGGTTTTCTGGAATGAAAACTTTTTAGGTTGTTCTGTTAATTTTTCTCTATATAGGTAAACCTCAGAGTTCAAGTTATAAAATTTTAATCAACAAAAATAGGGGTTGATTGTAGAGAGGTGAAAATTAGGGGTTGTATGTATTTTTGCATGCTGTATCATAAAATATAAAAACAAAAAAAAATGTCTAAAAAACAAAAAAATATTTTTTGGGGTGGACACCCCTTATCACTTAGGGGTTTGAAATATAGATAGTAGCCGAATCTCAGACTTACTGAATATGCATAAAAAATTTCATAAGAATCGGTTGAGCCGTTTCGGAGAAGTATGGTATACATTGTGACACGAGAATTTTATATATTAGATGTTCAATTTTGTTTAGAGTAGACTCCCGAGACGTGGGGTATAAGTCCACAGGCAAAGATTTATCTGGGCGCCAGGTAGACAGTATCGGTGACATTAGAGATGGTGCTTTTCTCACTTGAATAAGCGTCGTTGTCTTTAACAAAATACCAGCATGTTTTTGTAATAAAAAAGTGTTTCATTTATATAACTAGCGAACCGCCCCTTCGCATGGGCAACAGTGACTCGTAAACCTTAAAAATTCAAGACCTACAACTTCCTCATAAATTTTCGATGCTGGTACGACGCGACGGACTATTTGTTTTAATGTAATTTAAAAGTTAGACATAGTATGTTGTCACTAGCTTTTTTGGAAGCATTATCAATCCCTACAAGTTTCTTTTTTAAATGCTAATCATAAATCTTTTCAGATTTATAATTGGACTTCGACCGACATGCAAGGTAGGCGGCTACCACAAATCATTTCGATTTTTTTTTCGGGTTAAGTATAGGGCATACAAATATACATAACAAATACGCCTACGGGATGCCCAAAAAGGGCAGTCTTCCCCATTTGAGTGAGCGTTTCCGGCCTTTGAGAGAGGAGTATACTTTTTCTTTAAACAAATGTACAACTTAATTAGGCTACAGTACAGTTAGGCCAAAACTCGCTATACGAACGCGAAATTCTGAAAATAACAAAGCGAAATTGCAAATACAGTACGCAAAACTCTTGAATTCAATTTATTTAAAATGAAAGGAAAACAATTTGTGTTGAAGAGTCATGTCTCGTGCCTTGGCGAATACAAAACAATATGTTAGTGGAATGTCTGCTTAGTAAAACTGTTTGTTATTTAAAATCGATGTTAGCACTACTTTCAAGATACTAAAGGTCAATTGTCATATTAGTGAAAGCTTTAATTATATTTTTTGCTTTCTTTTCTGAGTCTTGTATCTGACTAGCGATCAAGAAATAAAATACATCAATGGCGTTACAACCTTTTTAGGCCAGGACCTCAGGTTTCTGTGTCTGTTTCATGATCATTTGTTTATCTAATAGGCAAGTTGGTGATCAGCCTGTGAGATCCGGAGATCTGTGCCTGACGCACGCCCTCGACTTTTTTCAGTCTAAGGCAAGCTGGTTTCCTCATCATGTTTTCCTTCACCGTTCGAGCGAATGTTAAATGCGCACATAGAAAGAAGGTCCATTGGTGCACAGCCGGGGCTCGAACCTACGACCTCAGAGATGAGAGTCGCACGCTGAAGCCACCAGACCAACACTGCTTAATGAGCAGTGTTGGTCAAGCGATCAGTCCCATATTTATTATTAGTGCAATGGTATCACGGAATTTCTGATATTGATTTCTTCTATAAAACTGTAAAGAGCAAAGTGACTCTATCGTCAATAGTTTCTGCAGTGTACGCGATTTTTATTGGTATTTTTTTCATAATCGAAGTTCGTATGAACGAACCACTGATCATTTTTGAAAATATTCTATAGCCTTTCATCAGGGATTATGAAAGAATGCATCAGTACAGTTTTGGAGTTTACTCAATCCAAACAAATAAATGTTTATTCATATTATTTTAAAACATTTTAGCAATAGTAAATTTATAAAATCGGTTTATCGGGTAGCTAAATCTTCAAGTAAAATTAAATTTAATTACGGTTTTAATCTTTATATTTAAAACACTAATTAGTAGAGACGAGGTTAATAAAATGCTAATTAAATGCTCTGAGATGAAGCCAACAAGTGTAATTAGTGACTTGAATGGTTGAAGCCATTTTGGCATTCGCGGCGTTTTAAAAGCAAGAAAAGGCTGCCTGAAATATGACACAAATGGGCTTGGCTAGCAGAATTTTATTAGCACATAATTCCTCTTTGTGATATATAGTTCCACGAGAGATATGAAATGTCAGACATAGAAAATTTGCTTTGTTCATAGTTTCACGCTTCAACAAATTTTCTAACTTAACACATGTACATTCCAAAAATTAAACTTTAGGGTTTACTGAGAACCATATTTCGAAATAATATAGACTTTTGTTATGACCAAACTATTACGGCGGAGGGTAATTCGCGACAGTCAATAATTGTTTTGAACTTTGAAATCAAACAAGAAAACCCTCAGTTGTGGAACGACGGACGTCAAGTTGATACGGATGGTATTTTGTATTATGCCTTAACGTCCGATGGATTAATCAGGTAAGCCTCCTAGTCCCTTAGTCTCCTAGTACATTCATTCTTTGTTGTGGGTACCGTACACATCGGCTCCGGTGTAAAAATACAATTAAAAATAGAAATTTAAGCAAGTATGTTGTTTTAAGTGAATTAAGCAAGGCAAATAAGTGTAGTGTGTGACTTTTCTAAGTTGCTGTGTTAATGGGATAGTCAAATTTACAAATAAAAACTTCTCATAGTTTAGTCTTCATTCCTAAAAGTCCTGGTCACCCGAATATGCCTTAACCGATACATCGACTTGCCTCTATCCTTGGCTTGTCTCAGGGCAGATGTTGAGACCTATGTCTTTATTTTTATAGACCAACAGGTAGGCGACCATTCCCTTGCCGACAACCCTCTATGGAGCCACCACCATTTTGTCGATATATTAGTAGTAGACATAGTGATAGATAGTAATAAACAATATGACCTACACACAAATATACAGTATTAACAATTTTCTTAGCCTAAATAGTTATTATCATAATAATTAATCGTAAATTAAAACAAACTTAAAAGTTTCGTCCCTATGGCAATGTTTTATTCTTTAACGCTGGCAGCATTGCCGCGCTGAATTGCGATAGGTACTTATTTGTTGAGCGAGGAAGCACCAGCTCTGGGGTCACCAGTACTATCTACCAGGCGCCAATTTAAACCTTTAATTAGCGCCTGTATACTTGAACAACACGGCCCAAGAGGCTCTACTCCAAAGGAAACAAAATCGAAGTAGAAGGAGACTCTAATATTTGAGCCGTGTATTATTTTCCGCCTACACTGCGACTGCGTGAGCTGCTTTTGCTTGCTCAAAGGATGGGGCTAACGTGGGTAATATATCTACTCAATGTCTATATATTAATTAAATTAATAGACAGACCAAACTTATATAAGCGAATAATTTGTACCCTCATTACTCGGAATTTTCTGGGTGCGGAATAATAAAACAGTTTGCATGACTATGTGACCGCATGCCACTTATTTGATAATAAATTGTGGCGTGGTGCCAACTTTTATTTACCGAGCCTTTAGGGTTAACGAGGTAGTTACCCACAGTGAGTTAATTATTAATTTATGGAATGAATCTTGGAATCATAGAATCAAAGTCTCTCTAATAACAGCGTTTTGATTAAAGCTTTTTTTAAACTGAGAGGATATAATATTCATTTATTAAAAATAAAAGCATTTGTGTATGTACAGTGTATAGATACCACTGCCGTATTTACAAGAAAATATAAATTTTTGAGAATTTTAGTTAAAATAGGAAATACTGACACATGAACGCCTCTCGTCATTCCGAACAATATCTTACTCTACCCAGCATACATATATTGGATATATGTAAATTTATCCGTAAATATCCTAATATGTATAAAAAGGGAAGACATAAAAACCCTTTACTCACTAAGACCTTCTCGTAAAAACCAACTGATTCCACCTACATCTAGACTACAACATCAATCAGGGCCATTGACCTCCTCAATAAAAATATATATAAAAAATTACCGGGAAATTTTAAGAATGAAACAAATCACTTGAGGTTTACCAAATTGTTAAAGGAATTAAAATATAAGAAATGTTATTACACCGTTACAGAGTATCTGACTGATAGATTTTAATTTCTTTATACAAGTTAAGAACATACTTATTTTCGCAACGTGAAACCAAAGGAAATATAATAAATAAATAATGTATCTACTCATAAGATTAAAAATTAACAAATAAAGAATTAACTATAATAAAGCATGCCCTCTCGCATCATTGCTGTGCCTAACCAAGGTCCTTATTGTAATTAATCATAACATGTCACCTGTACAATATGAACATAAGTAATGCAATAAAGATTTTAAGACTTTTGACTTTAAACAATTTAATATCTTAATAACAGAAGTGTAATTGTCAGCGTCATTTAAAGGACAGATAATTCATCATGATCATGTTAAGTAAGTGAGTTTTGTGCAAGGTATAATTTTTTTCAAAAGAAACATTTTATTATTAAGTTTCTCGTAAGCCGTCCATGAAAGCGATGAATATTGGATATTCTTTATCCTTATAGATTATGCAACGCGTCACGAGTAAGAAGATGTAGCTAAACAAAGCCTTGGATTGAATCCTTACAAAAATATGTTTTGAATTTATGTCATACATAGATGAAAAGTATTTAAAAAGTGTGTGTGTGTCAGCTACGACGCACGATTGGAGTTTACT